ACCTGGGGCTGGAGTGTCCATACCCCTGGGGGAGGTCTACCGCGTGACAGCATGTCTTCTCCTATGGGCACAGAGGAACCTTAGCATAGGTTCACGGTGACTCCTAAAACGAAAGAGAAGATGGTTCACCTGTGTGTGCATAGGGCGGGATCTGAGACCTCATTGGTGGTTTATAAAGGCAACCGCCGTCCTGATGTCCAAGCGGACCAGGACATGACGACACCTGAGTTCTGGCTGGAACTCATTGAAGGCCAGAATCACCATCATCTCCAGGCGGTTGATGTGCCAACTTGATATATGGGAGCCGAAGGCAATTCTGCCGTCGCACAGGACACTTCAGCCCGTCTTGGAGGCATCTGTCATGACCACTTTCCTCCAGGAATCTGGCGGCCCCGTTTCTTCTTTCATCTCGGCTTAAGGAGATGGAGCGGCAGGTTCCGCTCAGCAGGGGTGACGCAGCGTTTAGCTTCTCGAAGTGTGGGCAGCTGGAAGCGTCGCCTCGGCATGGGGGCAGCCTAGGCAAGAGGCGCACTCGGAATGCTTATCTAGAGCAGGCAGATGAGCCCTGCATGAGCAGCATTCACAGTGCGACATTTACAACAATGTTGCTGAAAATTAGCTCTAAAATTTGTTCTTTAATTTAGTCGCCAGATGGTCGTAGGGGAGACTCTAAATTGCTTTGCTTGCAGAATGCTTTTTCAATCAGCTTGCTTCCAGGGTGTCGTTGAGTCAGCTTGCTAGTAGAGATTCTACTCTGTGAGGCTCGTTCGATGGCGAGAAAAGAGGTCTCAGTCTTCTTCTGCAGTGAGATGATCTGAAGATTCAGAAGATTTGGCATTTCTGCATGGCTTATAAAGGCAGCCAACCCTGACACTTTCGGCAGGCTGAAATGCCATTTGTCTGTGCATGAACCAATAAGGCTTTAGGATTCGAAAAAAAGAGGGTGTTTTCCCCATAAGAGTTAATGAATGAATGCAATTATGCGAGTGAACAGTATCGAAAAGGAACAGCGACAACGAGCACTCGCCATAATTTTAAAAACTTTCCATTTCCATTCAAACAATAAATCGGTGCTTATTTACCCAAACAAATCAATTTCTAATCAAATGGACAGTGTTGGTAAAGTTCACTTTCTACATGAACTAGTTCAAAGGTAAGTTTACAAATTTTTAATTGAACTAGTTCATAGTTCATACCTCACAGTTTTGAACTTAGTTCACGGTTCCAAAAAAAAAAATGAACTAGTTCATGTTGCTACGAGCTATTTTTTTTTAAATTATTGCCACAACCCATATAAAACCACTACAGCAATTATTTTATCAGCGGGTAAAGTTTGCACAGAAACATACGTTTTTTTTTTTTTCCCATCCTCACCGACCTTGTCTTAAACTCGTTTAAATGATCATACGATGCTTCCTCGAGTTCATGCTGCTTCTTGTGTTGATGACGCATGCGGAGGCCGCCGTGTGACACTGGTGGCTGGTGTTGCCAGATTGGGTGTTTTTTTTCGGCTTCTACTGGGCCATATTGTAAGATACCAAGTATGGAGCCTTTTTTACATTGTCATAATTCTTTAGAAATATATAATGTACAAATTAAGTCTTTGGACGCCTGAGATGTAAAGTTATTCGCTATCAAAGTGACGCCAAAATGAATGGGAGTCAATGGAAAGCAAACAGCAGGTGAAGTTCTGCTATAATGGCGTCTCCCGCAAGGCTTCAGTTTCCGGCTGATGGATTACCATTAGCCGCGTTTTCGCCTGGAATGCTCTATAGAAATCTAGCACCCTATTGAACAAAGTTAAACTGAGAGAGCATGCGTTCCAGAATGAACGCGTTCACAGTACGTTCAGTTCGCATTCACCCAAAACATTAACGAGTTCATCGTTCAATGAACGCGTTCAGGCACAACACTGCAAATGAAGATATTTCTTTCTGTTTCATACCTTACGAAATGTTTAAAAAAAAGTGGTTGGGATAATATCGACCCTGGCAAAAAGTGATCGGGACAATATCAACCCTAAGTAGGCTAATGCAATTTGTTCTTTTTTCAGGGAGTAAGCCTATTGTAATTTTGCAATTCATAACTTTTAAAAGTTACTTTCCCCAACACTGTTTATTATTCTTATTTGTTCAGTTCAACATTTACTAGGCCTAATATAATTTAAAGTTCGCAAATTGTACATGCTAACATTAATTAATGCACTGTAAACTAACATGAACATTTTCAACATTAACAAAGGTCAATCAAGTTTGGAACAAAACTTTGGAGCATGAGGTTGAGGAAGTGATGTCCAAATTTATGCTTTTTTGGTGAACTCTGATCACGAAAAATCAAGTCCATTGTTGTGTTACATGCTCTCTGAAGAACCCAATTACAAAACAGAATGCACCTTTCCAAGGTAGTTCTAAGGTCAATTACCATTCAAAATTCATTAAAGGCCATTTGGTTGTAATTTAAATATCTGGTCCAACATTAAAACTCAAGAGGGACGATCCTGTGCCAGTCGATACATGATTGATGTTCAATTCCCGTATCACCGTCAGAAAGTCACGACCTGCAGCTCAGGCTTCGTGGTTCTGGAAATATATCTTCCGGGTCAATATCACACCCCCAATGCACATCGAGAATGCTAAATCAAATCGATTGGTCACCATAATGCTTTTTAGAGGGGTAGATTATGTTATAATCTATAGCACATCAGATTATGAAATAAGAGAGAATTAAATCGTGCAGTGTCATGCACAGTCCTACAAGTCATCAATCCTGGAGTCAAACGGTGAGTCTTGACCTTCATTTGGTCACAGCATAAGCACATAATCCTGCAGGATGCTGCATGCAGTAGATGCTGATCCAGCAATGCAGCGCAACAACCGTGCAGGTCACCGGCTGGGCTCTTCACGCGCCGACACTTTGCCAAAATGTAAATGGCAACACAAATGCTTCAGTAAACAACAATATGTGTATGTGTACATCTGGTATTAAATAGAACTATGAAAAAGTCCAAAAGACCACAGGTGAATATTTGGATTTTAGAATTTGGATTTTAATAGGCAAATGCTTAAGAGTCTATGATTGAATGCAGTGATTATTTCATTTCTAACATGTTATAAATTTGGCAACAGTTCATCTCATCCTAATTAATGGAGAGTATAGCTATTCATTTCTCAACAACCATGTAGAAAGACATAGCATGGCCAAATTCCAGGAGAATAATAATGTCAAGATTCATCAGGCTCAAATTGTGAAAGAATGGTTGGGTAGGGAGGAAGCATGAATAATCCTTTTCACACATAAATTGGCACTACCTTTCATTAAATTCATGAACACATTAACCGTCACTTTCCAGTACCGGGACGCCTAAATTTACTTCGCTATATTTCTATTAAATCCTATTCTAATTATGACAAATTATATATTGTAGAAAAGGTCTAAGACTTCTAAATTCTACCCCTGTTTTGTGTTACAAATTATGTAGGAAGAGTAATTGATGAATTTATGACAAGAGTGCACCTCAAAAAATCTCAAAAAGTCTGACCTTTATCACAAAAAGTCGATGCACCCACTTTTAATCATCGAAACTTCTGTTTTTTATGCTAAAAGTTCAAAATAAAACATATAATCTTGTATTTTTCAATAATAAAAAAATATAGTATAATATTATCCTCTAAAATATGTTATTTTTTATCGCCTTTTTATTACCACTTATTATTTTAGTAGTTATCATAAATTAGGTATAATTTGAAAGCTTATAAACTCAGAATTCAATCTGTGAAAACGTTTTATAATTGAACATTGCGTTACCATAGAAACGGTACTTATTTTATCAGACTCCTCCCCTTTTGGGCATCGTTATATTTCATAATTTATTATCAAAACCTTTTTTAATCTTGACAAAACACATATTGTCAGGAGGGTCTGAGTCTCAAGGTTCCAAATTTTGTGACAAAATTGATATTTGGACAGAAATGTATTAATTTGTTAAGGCAGAATGTATACAACAACTGAATTTAATGGGATTCAATGGCAACCGGTGGCTATTTTTGGTAATAAGCCTAAACAAAATCTCATGACTTTAATTTTTGTGATATCAACTTCAAATTTGGAACATAACTTGGTTAGATTTATGGCTTTGATTTTATAGTAAAAAATATTTTATAAAATATATATATATATAGTACAGTATATTTGATTTACGGTGAATTTAAACTTACATAACTTTTTCATACTTTATTTTTTTGAAGCGTTTTCACTTCAGCAATAATTTTAAAGAGTGTTTTCTTTAAAACAAGACCAAACTTGGGTATATTCCAAATATTCTTATTTTTGGAATATATACACAATATATTCTTGGGTATGTACAGCTAAGGGGTTAAAAGTCTTTCGGATGTACTGGACTCTTGCATTGCCTTACAAGATAGACTGACCAAAAATGTATTCACTTCTTGATGGAAATAACATCACAACATTTATTTCCATCAAGAGGTGCATCAATTTTTGGTCAAGATCTTGTGTGTGTAACATACATGATATAATTATACATATAAATATATTATAGTTAAATGTTTTGTAAAAAAAAAAAAAATTTCAGAATGGCATTTTATGACATTTGATATGTCCCTCTTTTGCTGAAAACGGCACAAGCTGGAATGTAATCGAGCACATCTGTCCATCAAAACATTCACAAAATTGCTTATTCGATTACTGCCATAGAAATATTGAAGTATCTTAGATTTTTTCTTATATATTTTCCCCCTGTTATATATGCTTTAGTTAGAAAGTTTTAGAGGGGTAAAACTTAGCATTTTACTAAAATTAATTCCAGGTTTAAGACCGAACGACAGATTCTCAGTGTGGGCTCAGACATTAGGACCACACTGTCAATACATATTAACACACACATCCAAGTCCACTGGAGGATGCTTGCCTGCAGCGCGCTCTAGTGGTGTGAAGGCGCACACACAACCACTACACATATTTTGTGTAATAATAGGCATTTCCGAAGTTGGTCCCATTTCATTTATTGTGCAAATGATGGGCGTTTACATATTTAACATGTTCTTAAGAGCAGTCAAAGACAAGGACAGATAGAATTACACACACATCATTGAATATAAAACCGAAGACATAAGGAGACAGCAGAAAGCAGGATGCATCACACATAGCCTACATGAAGGGTGTCCGACTCTGTGCGGAAAACACCCTCTGGCTTCTCATGACATGTTGCTCCTGCTACTGATGTTCACAATCACAAACAAAGCAGACTGACTGTTATAACATTACACAGAATTAGGGGACAAGAGACAGACGAACAAAAAAGTGTTATCCACACACATTCACATTCAAATAGATGAACATTGAGTTCATAGTGAATAGCTGGAATTATAAAACAACTTGCAGCATCTCTAATGAACTTAAATCTAAAAAACAGATAAAAGCAGCCTCCTCATGTGATCAGAACAGAACTGAACATCAGAGGGACGGTACCGTCATTCATGAGGATATCATCTGTTATACGCATAACTAATGTTGCAGAAACATACCTCTGTTAAGGCAACCAGTATCATCTGTAGGAATCTGTCTGAAACCTCCTTAAATGTCAAATATTAAATAATAGCGGTATAGTTTCAGCGCTGAAAAAGAATAATACAATAAAAAAACGACAAAGTCGTTAAAGCTTCAGAAAATAAAATGCAAAACGTACATTAAATTAGTACACATTACCAACAGTAAACCTCATAAATGGCAATCTGTGAGTAATATTAGGGTACAGCTGGCAGAATAAAAATTAATCCACTTAGATGAAACTATAAAGAGGTTTGAAATCATTAGTCAGCACAAGAGCAGCATTTCTCCTTTAGGTTCATGAACGAGTTTCTTTATTCTGCTGAACAAACAAGAAGATATTTTGAAGAATGCTGGTCACCAAACAGTTTCTGGTCACCACCATAGTATTTTTGTTCGAAACTATGGAAGTCAATGGAGACTAGCAACTGTTGGGTGACCAACATTCATCTTCTGTTCAACAGAAGATGGGACTTCATGGTGAGCAAATAATGACAGAAAAAACTGAATAACGCATCTCAGCAGTGGAGGATCAGCCACCTGCTACTCTAGAACTGGTCAAAAATGAGCAGATCTGCAGGTGAGGTCAGTGGCTCGCAAAAAAAATAATAAAAACAGTCAAAATCAAAATCTGAGTTAGATGAGAAAGCTGCATTTATCCAGCGACCAGAGGATTAAAAGCTATGTTTTAAAAAAGTTTATTTGCGTGTCATCCAGAACACGTCTAAATCTGCTTCAGAGCCATCTGAGGGAATAAAGGAAAAGGGGATGCTTAATATTATTCATATTAAATATAATTCACTAAAATGACTACAAGTTATACAGAATGCCATTTTTTTTATCTTCAAATTGTTCAACACACTCATAACTGGTCCTGACTGGTTCTTTTTTTTTTTATTATTATTGGAGAAATATAAAGAGTACAGACAAGCTTCACAGAAAATATATCTATACAAAATACAACAGGATAGTATAGTTCCATCTGCAGTTCTGACTGGTTCTTTACACAACCATTCAAACATTTAGGGTCAGTAAGATATATATTTATTTATTTTATTTATTTTTTTTTGAAGGAAGGAAGAGAATAATTCAGCAAGGACACATTCAATTGATAAAAAAGTAACTTTTAAAATTGAAAAAATTGCACTTTTTAACATTTAATATTTTAATATTTTAATTTAAATTACTTAGTTTTAGTTTTTAATATATATATATATACACACACACACACTAAAATATGTGTATCACTGACTGTTTGTTCATATGATGCAGTGTCATGAACTTAAAGGGTTAGTTCATCCAAAAATGAAAATGAAGTCATTAATCACTCACCCCCATGCTGTACCAACCCCGTAAGACCTTTGTTCATCTTCGGAACATAAATGAAGATATTTTTGATTATATTTGAGAGCTGTATCACTACCACATAGGCAACCTTAGGGATTGAAACTTGACGGCCCAGAAAGTCAATGAAGAAAATGTTTAAATATCCCATGTGACTACAGTGGCTCAACTATAAGTTTATCAAGCGACGAGAATACTTTTTGTGCAAAAAAAACAAAAACAAAAATAACGACTTTATTCGACGATTCCTTTTCTTCCTTGTAGGCCTGAGACGAGAGTTCAAGAGATTTCCACGACGCATGCGCGAGAACTGAACAAGAAGGAGTAGAAAAAGATTGCAGTTCCCGTGTGCATTGAGTTTTTTCACACAAAAAGTATTCTCGTCGCTTGATAAACTTATAGTTGAGCCGCTGTAGTCACATGGAATTTTTAAACATTTTCTACATTGACTTTCTGGGCCAACAAGATTCAATCCCTTAGGCAGCCTATGTAGCAGTGATCCACCTCTCAAATTTAATAAAAAAAATATCTTCATTTGTGTTCTGAAGATGAACGAAGGTCTTACGATGTTGGTACAGCATGGGGGTGAGTAATTACTGACTTAATTTTCATTTTTGGGTGAACTAACCCTTTAAGCTGTTGGTTTGGAGTGAATGGATCTTGTGATCAGTTCACCTTCTGAGCTGCTTCTGCAAACTGCTTGGCTCCGTGGAAGAAGTGTCCGGTCTTCTCATCCGCCCTCAGACGCTCCCCGCGCTCACTCAGAACCTGACTGGCCCTCCGCATTACGTTCCCCATCTTCTTCCCGGCCGGAGGGGACGGGCTACTCCTACTCCTGCTCCTGGATGCTTTAACGGCTGTTGTTGCTGTGAGGATATAAGCACAAACACATACAAGTATTATTTTACACCTTTGCTGTATTAGGGAATGCTTCTCTGGCATAAAGCTGCTGATTATTATTTTTAAAAATAAATTAATACTTTTATTCTGCAAGGATTTGATGATTTGACATCCAAGATGTCCATGTCTTTCTTTCTTCAGTCGAAAAGAAATGAAGGTTTTTGACGAAAACATTCCAGGATTTTCTCCATATAATGGACTTCAGTGGGAACCAAATGGTTCAAGGTCCAAATGAGAGTTTCAGTGCAGCTTCAAAGGGCTTTAAACGACACCAGACGATGAATAAGATTCTTATCTAGCGAAACGATCGCTCATTTTAAAAAATAAATAAAAACGTTTTATAAGCACACATGCTCGCCTCGCTCTGTTCTGTGATGAACGTTCGTGACTCTCCTGTTCGAACTTATCAAAATTTTTCGACAAATCTTTTCGAGTCATGACTCGAAGGGTCCTTGATAGGACCCTTATTCATCGTCTGGTGTCGTTTAAAGCCCTTTGAAGCTGCACTGAAACTCTCATTTGGACCTTGAACCGTTTGGTTCCCATTCAAGTCCATTATGGATAAAATCCTGGAAAAACCTTAATTTCTTTTCGACTGAAGAAAGAAAGACATGGACATCTTGGATAGTCAGTTTTCAACATTGATAATAATAATAATAATGATAATAATAATAATGAATGTTTCTTGAGCAGCAAATGATATTAGAATGATTATTGAAGAAACATGTGACTCTGAAGACTGGAGAAATGAACCTGCTGAACATTCAGCTTTGCATCTCAGGAATGACATTTTAAAATATATTCAAATAGAAAAGTGTTTTTTTTTTTTTAAATAGTAATAATATTTTACTGTATTTTGTGTCAAAAAATTGCAGTCTTGGTGACTGGAATCATCTACACTCGTAATGTAATTCTGCAATGCCATTAACTGATCGTATTAACTGCCAAAAGAAACAGACATGGCGGTATATGATTAGAGCTGAGGTGTGTGTGGACTGGGACGTTGCATTTTGCGCCTCCAGGGCAGCTTGGCACCTCTCCCATTCATTACACACCATTCATCCATGATCCGCTGTGAAGGCTGGTGCCACTATACTCATCTCCGCTCCTCTCCCCCTCCTCAACGCCTGTCTTTGTGTCCCCGCGCATGCCTTCATCTGAACAAAGTGGCCTCTGAACTAATCGGGCCCTCTTTGCAATGGGGCCATTCTCTGCCACCGCCACGGAGAGATCTATCACAACACTACAAACAACCAGCCGACAAAGCGCCCTCTCTTCCTGCCTGATCTGACCCACACAAGTCCACAGACAGGAACGGATGGAAACCAATGCAACTGCCTAAAAGATGCATTTGTAATACATTGTCTAGGGGTCAATGATATTTGTTATAGTAAATGAAAATGCTATTCATATGACACAATATATTCACAATGTCATGAATAGACCTCTTCAATGACGAGCGTGTTGGTTTTCATTTGACATTTTAATAAAGCCAAAAATGTCAAGGTGACAAAGACTGAAAATAAGCCATTTAATGACAGCAATAATAATTAGAATTCTTGTATTTATAATAAAAAATAAGCATTCTTGGAAAGAAATCATTATTTTTATTATTTATTCTACAAAAAAAACTTAAAATGATAATAATAATAGTTAAGAAGTATTCTTGAACATATTTGAAAAAATTGTATTATTATTATTAAAAATAAGCATTCTTGACAAGAAATTATTATTTTTATTATTTATTCTACAAAAAAATTAAAAAAAAATGTTAAGAAGTATTCTTAAACATATTTGAAAAATATTATTATAATTATTAAAAATAAGCATTCTTGACAAGAAATTATTATTTGAATGCAAAATAAATATTTTTCAAATATGTTCAAGAATGCTTCTTTTTAAGTATTATTATTTTAATATTTAACTATTTAACTATTAGTACTTCTTTTTAACTATTTAAAATAATAATAGTTAAAAAGAAGCATTCTTGAACATATTTGAAAAAAAATAAATTATTAAAAATAAACATTATTGAAAATAAATTATTATTTTAATGCAAAATAAAAATTCTAGAAAAAATCTTCAAATAATAATAATAATAATTACTATTATTATAAGAAGAATAAGCATTCTTGAACATTTTTTGAAAATTATTTTATTATTATTATTAAAAAGGGTTATTGAAAATAAATATTTAAATAATAATAATAATTATTATTATTATTATTATATTAGCAATAATATAAATAATAAAGATAAATAATTTTCAAAAATGTTCAAGAATGCTTATTTTTATTATAATAATAATTATTATTATTAATATTATTTAAATATTTATTTTCAATAACCCTTTTTAATAATAATAATAATAAATAGTTTTCAAAAAATGTTCAAGAATTTTTTGAAAACATTTTTTGAAAATTATTTATTATTATTATTAAAAAGGGTTATTGAAAATAAACATTTTAATAATAATACTTATTATTATATTAGCAATAATATAAATAATAAAAATAAATAAAACAATAATAAACACTTGAAAAAATGTAAATCAATATTTACAATCAGAATAATAACAATTCTTATTATTATAAAAGTAAATATTTATCAATGTGTCCCCATATTGTCCATGACTTTAAAGGTAATCTTTTTACTTGATGGCTGCACCAAGGTCCAAAATTATTCCATTTTTTTTTTTTTTAAATGTATACATTTTCACAACAATAAGACTCCTACTAACCTTCACGCTGAAGTCGACCCTGGTTTGCAGTCATACTGCTCTTCATTCTCTTCAAAAAAATCTTGCAGCGGTAGATGACCATATTAACAGAACAAGCATCTAAAATATGGAAAAATACATTTTGTTTTGTCACAGAAATGAATTCTGCCAAGAGGTCAATCCAGCAATCCGGCTTTCGGAGCGCACTCACCTCCCATTAGCTTTTGCTGACAGTTGACAAAGTTAGTTTGGCTTGGAGCACCAGGGCTCTTCTTGTTCTCTGGAGCTCCCGGTGTCTTCTGTTCTCCAGGGGTTGATGGTTTTCCAAGCTTGGCCTCCCAGTACTTCCGACAAGCATGATAAAGAACTTGCACGAACATGCATTTCTCTGCATCTGAGCCGGCCACCCATTGATCAGAGGTGCGATCGAACACTAGGTCGAACTCAGGGGTGTCCTAACAAATAGTCAGAGGAGTCAGAATGATGGACTGTACTGGGAATAAAAAGCTGCATTTAGAAGAATGGTCACCTTATCAGAGTTGATGCCATCAACCTGGCGAAGCTGCTCCACAGACCACTGAGATCGTTTAGCAAACTGACGCGTGCCCGGATACCTCTTGACTTTAGTGATGAGGACTTGAGCTGGTCGACTGTTGGCAACTACATGGAAACAAGAGTCAATGAAGATTTCTGATAACTCAATAAACTTACAGTATTTCTCAAGCTCACTAGTAAAGACACATTACCTGACAAGCAGAGAAACGTTGAGTAGTCCCTCTTGCGATTTGCATTGAGGAAGGACAGTCCTTTCCTCTTCATCCTTCTCCTCACCTCAATGGCTACCAGTAACTTTTCATCATTCGGTACGAAGATCTCACGGCTGATTGCTGACTGAATGTTCATCTTCAAAATGCCTGGAAAATATGTCCACAATGTATGAACAATAAATGTATTTTTTTGCACCCAACAAGAAAGTTTGGAATATAGAATTTAAGCCAATTGACATCCATACATATATATACGGTGCTGGGTAGTTATTGGTTTCATGTAATCTGGATTACGTAATCAAATTCCAAAACTTAAGTATGTGTACTGTAATTAGATTATATTACATCTTAAAATACTTGTAATCAGACTACATTACTACTTTACTTTTCTATTGATTACATGTTATTGGCACAATGGCAGTAAAAACTAATGTATTTCACTTCATTTTATACTGTATATGCAATGCAGGAATTTTTTTGTATCAACTTAAAAAAAATAAATAATTAAAAAATGATCCTCTTTGCCCTAATATTTACTTAAAGTAATATTTACTTTAACTTTAACTAATGTATTTTGTTACTTTATAGCTTTCTATTAAACTCACGAATCCCTGTAATGTAATAGCTTAGTTAATGCACTTCATGTTGTTGACAAAGAATATATATTTATATTATTATAATTAATAATATATTTCTTTTTTCTTCGTATCAATATGGTACATACAATGATATCCTTCACATTAACGTTGTGATGAGTTATGTTCAAAGTAATCAGAATAATTACCTAAAATTAGTAGCATAAATTTAAACGTAATCTAACATAAAAAATCGATAATTTATTAAATTAAGAAATATTTTAAAATATTCACCACATATTCACTAAATAGCCTAAGTCATCTTATTTTACATTGGTAAATGTTTTTGTTAAAAAGTGAATAAATTACAGACATCTTAGCTCACCTAGACCTTCTGCTTGATCTTCCTGAGGCAATTTCTTCCTCCCTCGAGCCTTAAAGAGCAGTGAGAAGTTTCCAGAAGTCCAAACTGTTTCTGCTGTTTCTCAAGCCATCTTTATCCCGCATGTGTTCTACTGAGAGACTGCGGGGCGTGTGGAGAGTCCCGGAGAAAACCCACAGGCTGTGGCCTATATCCCAGTGAGCTGCCTACTGAGAGAGCGCTTCAGGGGATCAGAAGAGTCCGAGTCACTGAGCTCAAACATGCAGACTTGAGTAACGGCTTGGATTTGAGACAGAGCCAGTCTCTCAAACACACTCACTCGCTGAGGATCACGTGCAGCCCGGTTGATTGGACAGATAGCCTATCTTTTTAATAGAAAGTATTTTTAATGGAAAAACTTAATTATAGTTGTCTGTTTATGAAGTCAATATACAGGTCTATATAGACTTTATAAACAAGTGTAAATAGTTTTTTTTTTTTTTTTTTTTTAAGTTGACTGAACATTCATAAGTTCAAACAAAACACATTAATATGCACTTGAATAAATTGTTAAATTTGAATTGATGTTGTATTCGTGTTTAATCGCAATAGGATTGGTTCCTAATAAAGCATATAGCCTAATAAAATATTACAGTTCAAAAGTCTCGCCTCAACACTATTTTGCATGTTTTTGAAAGTCATAATGCTCGCTATTTGCTCGATTAAAAATACAGACTAAAACATACTCGATTAAAAAATTAGTATTGCTAAATATTACAATTTAAAATAGCCAGTTTTCCTATTTTTAATATATATTATATATATATTATATATATATATATATATATATATATATATATATATATATATATATATACGTATATATAGGCTATGTATTATATATTATCAAATGGAATTTATTCCTGTGAATTTTCAACATCATTACTCCAGTCTTGAGTGTCACATCATTCAGAAATCATTTTAATATGATGATTTACTGGAAACATTTCTTAGTATTACCATTTAGCGGTTTAAAAATTAACATTTGGCCATTTGAAAACAGCTGTGCTGGTCAATATTCATGTGAAATTTACTTTGTCATATTTGTCACTTTTTCAATTGAAAGTTCATAATTTATGTCATCTTAACTTTCACTGTCCAGCTAGAGGGCCTCCTCGGCACTGTTCCCCCTCCACATATTTTATTAATCATCACAAATTTGGTATCATGTGAAAGTTTATTCATCCTTTCAATACCATTTTGAAATCAAACATTGCATTGCCATGGAAATTGCCATGGACTTTTAGCACTAAAAGTCTTTTTAGCGGCTCCTCCCCCCATTAGTGGAGATTTCAAGTTTCATATGAAAAAATATACCGCAACACTATTTTATAATCAAAACCTTTTCTAATCTTGACAAAACACATATCGTTGGAAAGGTCTGAGACTCTAGGTTCCATGTTTGGTGATTGTTTTGTGACAGAATTGTATTAATTTGTGACTGAAGAATGCGTCAAAAAATAATAATAAAAAATAAAAAAAATAAAAATCATGGAATGTTGCTGTCACCTGTGGCTATTTTTTGGCCACTTAACAAACACTTAAACAAAATCTCATGGGTACTTTAATTTTTGTGATATCAACTTCAAATTTGGAACGCAACTTGGTTAGACATATGCCTTTGTTTTTTTTAGCAATTGAAGAATGAAAAATTAAAAATGATTTTGTAAAATATTGTGTAAACCATATACTATATATATATATATATATATATATATATATAATAAAAATATAATAAAAAAGTAAAATGTAGCAATAATCTGCTGAGTGTCTTGTTTCTTTAAAAAGAGACCAACCTTAGGTCTATTATCCCAAAGCATTCATGAATTAAAAACATTTCAGTTAGGACAATGTATTTTCACATCCATGATCATAAGGGGTTTGATTTTATCCTGCAATTTTATAATTTCCATCATTATCAAAGCCAGACTGTAAAGGCATAACAACATCTCAAATTATTTGCATGCCATTGGTGGAATAGAAAATAGAAATTTAAAATGTATAAGCAAGCGCACAAGTGCAATTTACCATCTTAACACATAACAAACACTGGCCGAAAAAATTTGGTATTAGTATTAGCAAATACAAAAAAAAAAAAAAAAAGGATTTACATCAAAATACAGTTGAGTTTTATATTATGCACAGCATTTGACATTATAACAACAAATATATGTCAAGCATTTAACCTTCCATTTTAAAAGTGCACAGTATAGGCAATTGGTGACCTGTGACACAACACACCAGCTGTCTATTGTGTATTGCTAAAACTAAATGACCCCTCAGAGATTAATTAAGTTATATTGCTTTCCATTTACCTCAAGGTCCACAGCAACAACACTAGTTGATGTCAGACTAGAGTCAGGATATAAAAGTAATTCACAGAATGAGACATAACAGGCAGTCAATATCAACTTTAATGAAAATCACGAGGTTCGTAAAAGAGGAACAGCTCGGTGTTCACTGAAGCTAAACATGAAGAGACACACTGGAGTCCAGTTCTAGTATATATGCACATAATGCAGACCGTACCCTCTGACCACAGACCTAATGAAGATCTCACTGTTCAGTTTATTGGCACATTCAAGGGTGAGGTAAGGAGCCATGTTAAGTGCTTTTCTCTCGTCATCGTAAAGGCATGGGGGTGTCGATTTCCAGGACTACTGTAAACAAATCATACAAAATGAATACATAAAACATGAACTTAACACACACACACACACAAAAAAAAAAGATAATCATTTCAAAATGGCAAAGTCTTTGTGACGGTGTGGTTCTTAGTGCAGCAATACATTAGAAAACAGTTTGATATGCCGATTGCACATTGTTGGCATAAAAGAGTGCCATATATGAAAAATGTTAAGTGTGTTTCAACCTGAAAGAACTAACAGGGCATCCAGTTTTAAGGATTTTTTTTTCAGTTAAGCCTCTGTGGACTTTCATGCATGTCAAAGCATAAATTCTAATTCAGTGGAGATAATCATAGCAAAGGGTGCATTTCAAATATGCAGTAGATTTCAGTGTCTATCATGCGATTGTAGAAGAGATATCCTAATATCTCTGTGTATCAGGAAAAAAAGTAGAGGGAACATGACCGGAAATGTCTTTAAAGGAATAGTTCACCTAAAAATACCAATTCTGTCATCATTCTCCCCTATGAGATTCCAAACCCATATGACTTCCTTTCTTCAATGCGAGACAAGTGGATCATTTCTTAAAAGGATTGTTCAGCCACAACCCCCCCCCCCCCCCCCAAAAAAAAAACCCAAAATTAAATTCTGTCATCATTAACTCACCCTTTATTACAAACCTGTGCAAGTTTCTTTCTTCTGTTGAAATATAAATATATTATTATATTAATATATTATTTTGGGTTCAACAGAAGAAAGAAACTTGGACAGGTTTGTAACAACATTAGGGTGAGTAAATGATGACACAATTTTCATTTCACAGCAAAAACTCCAGTGTTAAATGAACTCTCCGGGGAGTTTGTATGGCTCCAAACTAAAATATGAGTGTTAAATTAACACTCAAGACTGTTGAAGTTAATGAGCTAATTAAGAGATTCATTGAGTGATTATTGGCCATCATTGAAGACACCTGACGTTAACAAGCAGAATCCCCAATGGAGAAAATCTAGTTTTTTGTCACCATTATGGTGATCAGTAGTTACTTTAGTTGGGCTCTTGACTCGTAAATCATTAATTTTAGATTTTGTTTGGCTGTTGTTACCAAGTTTTAACTGTTAGATGAACAAAGAGAAAAGTTGATCAGGTGATCTTATGTTATGTTTCAACACCTGACCTGAATCATAAAACTCATTTAGAGAGTTATGTTTACCTTGTTGATGACAGCAGCCTTGTGATTATACAGCAAATGATTTTCAGCATTTTCGATAAAATTCTAAAATTGTCTTAAAATTTGTTTTTGATCAAAAGACTTTAAAATTTACTTTATTTAGGCACTGCTGACATCAATAATCAGCCACTGATACTCAACAATAGCGACAATAATTAAGCATGTTGCAGTGCATTCTGGGTGCCACCAATCAAAACTCATTCATGGGTCCCATCATGTATTGCAATATGAATAAATTATGATCGGAATTGTTTTAGTAATTTCCTTTCCCTAATTGAATATTCTGTTTATCACCATTGTTGAGATTCATACACGAATTCTAGATTAGATGTCTGTGTGCCTAATATATATATATATATATATTGTATGCTGTAATCAACAATATACATTTAAGTGTTTTAAGTTTTTTAACATAACCAACACCCCCTGATCAAATTTTCTATTTGTTCTCTTTGCCAAGAGCCCAACTAAAGCAAACACTGATCTCCATAATGGATAGATTTTCTCCTTTGATGATTCTGCTTGTTAATATCAGGTGTCTTCAATAATGGCCAATCATCACTCAATGAATCACTTAATTATCTCATTACTCTTGAGTGTTAATTTCACACTCATATTTTAACACTTTACCACTCTTCAGTCTGGAGCCAAATAAACTTCATTTCATTTAACACAGGAGTTTTTGCTGTGTGGGTGAACTATCCCTTTAAGAATGCACTGGATTAAGAATATACAACATGTTTGGGGAATACCAAATTAAATTTAGATCTGTTCACATAAAATTCAAACGAATGGCAATATTTTCCCTTTTATGAAATTTTATGGTGCTTTTTGAAACATAAAAGCTTCAGTCTTCAAAGTTATTATCGCTATCTAAAATTAAACCATTAAAAAATGGTTTTGTCACTTAATAAAATAAGAGACAACTGAAATAAATTAAAGTCAATATTTCCCTTTAACAAAGCATTTAAGTTTTAGTTTTAGTAAATTTTAAACCAAAATTTACAAAACCTGTATAGACATAAAAAAATAAACTAATAAAAATGACAAAAACAAAAAACAAAATTACTAAAAGTTTAACTAAAATGTAAATGAAAATATGACAAAAGTTTATCAATTATACCATATAAAACTGGTCTCCATTGATTGTAATAACAAAAGCGACTAGTAAAATTCTTCAAAATATATCCTTTTGTAGTCACATGGATTTGGAACATGAGGGAGAATACTGTATATAATGATGTGGTTATGTGCACTGCTTCCATCGACTATCAACTCAATATTTGGCCACTTTTAGATTAGATTATTCTTTTAGCATCTAAATAAAGTAAACATAGGAGTAATTCTTAATTTGTAAAAAAAAAAAAAAAAAATCTTTAGAACGTATAATTGTTTAGCCAATAAATAATCACATCGGACGCATTTCTCAAACCCTTCTGATTGTGAACCTCCAATTCAGCAGATTCTTGTCAGTCATGCTATCCAACCACAAGTTCATACACATCAGTCAATATGAAGAGTTTGCAACTTTGCGAAGATTCAAGGTGTGAATTGTCCAACCTGAAACAAGTAGGATCATTGTCATCATTTCATCGATCGAGGTTAAGAACAATCCTAGTTTGCGGATGTAGGGGAGAGAGTAAGTCTCTTCCTAAGGTGTGCTTCTAAAATTAAGGAAACAAGGCAAGGATCCCTGACGCACAGTGAACAAGGTCTGCTAAACTAAATTAAGAGAGTGATCAAGGGTGCTAGAGTTCATATGTGTGTGTGTGTGTTATGAGTCAGGGTTGTCCTCTGTCATGTCATTCACTTCATTTGGCCTGTACATGAACGTTAGCAGAAACAGAGCCACATCGTGTGAGCACCAATAAGCCGTGTGTGATGTCACCGCTGACCAATAGCGGCTTTCCACCAGGCCCTCCCTCAGCTCAAAGTCGATGCGTTTCTCAAGCTCCACTGCAAAACAGTAAATAGAAGGACAGGTGTTAGAGGTCTGACGAATTTCTCTGCACAAGCAAATTTACAAAAAATCAAAGATCTCCATGGAAGTCGTTTCCGCCTCAGAGTAAAAAACTATTTAGTGCAACTGCGACTGTCGTAACTTTATATCAAACAATTTTACTTTATAACTTTAAAGTTAGCAAATTATAACTTATCTCTCCAAATTGGGACTATGGGCCCTATCATTCACACAGCGCAATGCGGCGCTAGGCGTGAATCAAGTGTTTTTTGCTAGTTTCAGCCTGACGTCGCTATTATTTTTTTAATAATTATAAATCATTACGTCCTTCGCCAAGTCACGTCACGCCACGTAGTGTGTTCTTGTTTAAATAGCAAATGCATTTGCGCCCATTTGTGTGCGCTGGTTTGAAAACGAGGTGCGTTCAGGGGCATTTTTCCCGTCGTTGAACTAGCAAAAGATTCGGAAACGACCTAAATGCACTTGCGCCATACGCATTAGACAATGCGCTTAGATCATTATAATAGGGCCCTATATCTATATTCCATCCAAAGATTCAAATTTAACAAAATTGTAATAAAAAACGTGCAAATAAAGCGCCATTTCCATCCCATGTGTTAAAGAGAACAAAACGATCACTTCCTGGAAAATTGGCGCAAAAAATAAATGACTATGACTTCCATCTCAGAGCTTTGCGTTATCTTGCGTTCAGTTGCCTGATGTTTAGGAACGCAATCGTGTGAGACAATTCTGGAAGGTGATGGAACTATGGAAATATTTTGATGACAGACTTTGGCTCAGGCATTTCAGAATGACCAAACCAACATTTGAGATGCTGTGCGATGAAATTGGTCCACTGGTTAGTCCAGTTATCCAATTACATCCAATGCTGAGGCAAAGTCAAGGCAGTTTTTTGTTGCGCATCAAGAAGTGTATTTTTTTTAATGATTGTTTCCATCATTGTTAATGCGCTTCCATCATAGTTAAAGCAACACCAAGTAACTTTTCCTCTGCAGTCGCCCTACAGGTTGGAAGCAGAATTGTCCATTACCGCTATAGTAAAACATCGTTTAAATAGTAATTTAGCCTACCGCAGCCGACTGTCGCACACATGCTCGTAGTTTATCCAGCACCAGCTTTGTAATGAATGATGTTCACAGACAAGGTAGAGTATGTTGCATTATTTCATAAAAGTATGATGTATTGCGACATCAGAAACGAAGAAAACTAAACGTAAAGCAAGTTAAATTTGTAGTTTTATTATTTCTCATTAGAACTACAAAAACGCAACCCGATCTGGCACTCTTACATAGCGTATAGCAGATATAGGACCGCAAAGCGAATCCAGAAGTGCCTTTCACCCTGTTACGACTTAATGAACCACTGAAACGATTTTGGAAACATTATTTTAAGGTAAAAAAAAAAATCTAACTTAGTGTTGCTTTAATGTGCTTCCGTCATGCGCTAATGCACATAACTTCTTATCAGATAAAAAAAAAATATCTGCCAATATCTGTCAATTGAGTGCACAGGTTTTTTTTTTTGGGGGGGGGGGGGGGGTTTGGTGTTTCCATCCAGCATTTAAGTGGATGGTAATATAGCTAATGTGACTTTATTTCTTAGAATTGAGACTTTATATCTTCAACTTGTGAATTTATATATTAAAATGTGATTTCATATTGTAACTTTGTGAACATGATTTTATATCTCGCACTTGTGATTTTGTTTCTGGCAACTGTGACTTTATATCTGCAACATAATTTCACATCTCGCTATATGTTTTTCATAATTGCGAGTATATCTTCCACTGTGTCTATATATCTGGCAATGTGACTATATTTCATATTTTGTGTCTTACAATTGCAACTTTATTTCTTGAAATTGTGAGTTTATTTTATAAAACAGGGCTATCTCTTTAAGTTAACTTTATATCTCAATTTAGACTTTAAATCAGCAGTGCACAATTTCTGAGCCACTTACAGGAGGAGTTATCCATAATGACAGAGGCCGACTGCGACATGCTGGTGTCTCCTGCCTTCTCCTCGATTTTCTCCTCAATCTTCTCCTCCGGTTTATCATCTAACTCCACAGATCTGCCCTCTTCCCCTTTCTCACATGTCCCACCTTCTGAGTCTAATGGCTCCTCCTCCACACCCCCCACCTGTCCACTCGAGCGGGAAAATCTGGAGAACAGGATCCCTCCAATGCCTTTACCTATACTTGCCGCTCCTGTGGAAAAATACACATGCATGTAGTTACTGTTACATTTTAAAGCCCTGACTTCAAGAACTTGACTCTCTCCTGGTTATTTCTTAGGCAGTTTCAAAGAAGCCATAGAAAGCCAGAGTCTCCATTGTTGTATGCAATGAGCAATGCAACAGTAGAGTGTTGTATTCATTGACTAAAAAAAGAAAGCAAAACACAAAATAAACTAAGCAAAGATAAATCTGACTAATAACATTGCTGTTTTTTTCCCTAAGGTTTCTATAGATATTGTTACAGTGAATTCTTTTGGCCTCGATAACCATGGTGTGAAAAATCTGAACATGATAGCCCTAATTGCATATAATGGATATTTCCCATATGTAAATTTAAGACTTAGCCGTCTTTTCGGCTCAAGACTTTTCAAGACTTTTAAGTCTGTTTTTTCCACCACCAGGGTTGGAGGCTTTCCTGAGGCAGCGGGAACTGTAGAGATCTGTTCCAAGGAGGGGAGAAGGCAGCCCATGATAATCGACCCTCTGAATCGCTTTCCTCTCTGCTACAGTGCAGCCACTAAACCCCACACAAATACAGTATTTTAGTATGCTCTCTATGGAGCATCGGTAAAAAGACACAAGCAGATTTTCAGTCAGATGGTTCTTCCAGAGTATCCCCAGGAGGCAAAATCTCTGCTGTGCTTTCTTTATTAGTGCTATGGTATTGGCACTCCACTCAATGTGGACGCCCAGATCCTGTAGTCTATGATCAGCTCTTTGGTCTTGGTGGTGTTAAGGACCAAGTTATTTTCTATACACCACACAGACAGCCGCTCCACCTCGTCTCCCGATATTCAGACTCATTCTCCTTTAAGATGCATCCTACAACAGTGATATCCTCAGCCAACTTTATGATGGCATTGCTGGAGTGTGCAGGGATGCAGTCTGGAGTGTAGAGGGAGTAGAGTTGGGGGCTCAGCACACATCCCTGAGGGGAGCCAGGGTTAAGACTGAGGAGATCTAAGGGTCTATATCCTGACCCTCTGGGAGCAATCCGATCCTTTAGTCCTTTATCCAGAAGCAGATGGGATGAGGTAGTCCTAAGGCTGAATTCCAATTCTCTGTCTTACCCCTTCCCCTTAGTTTTGCGCGTTCATGTGAGAGGAAGGGCTATCCCAATTCTCATTTTGATCTAGGGGTAGGGGTAAGGTGAAGGGGTATATACCCCTTAAAACCAAGAATTTTCGCGAGCTTACTTGAAACCAAGGGGTAAGAAATGCACAAGTTTTTTTTAATGATTGATAAAAAAAAACGACCGTCTCGTTTTGTGCTCTACACAATTATTTGCAACTATGTTGTTTATTGAAACGTTTTTAAAGTTTTTTAAAAATCGCTACTTTGCTACGCTAGGCTATGCTAACGTTACATTGCTGATTTGCACAATCAGTCCCACATTTCAAGATCGCCCAAAATGTCCGGGATTCAGCTTTTGCTTTCTACAGTCGCCATTCATTATGTGTACATTATTTGACACAGACACATACGTGATGAGCTTCTCAGATGATGCATTCAGCTTTAAACGGATCCCGACTGAGATGAAAACATGGGAATATTAGATCAACATTCAGATTCACCGATTTAAATGAATGAATTCAGTCCGACTGAAACAACACCTTGTGCATGTAAACATAATGAATAGTGAAGACGGAAAGCAAAAGCCCAATCCCGGACATTTTGACGGCATCTTGAAAGTTTCGAGAAGTTTGTGATCAACACTTGTTGCCCCGGGTGACAAAGACGCAAGTTAAGGACGATGTAAGATGACGTAACCGAGTGGCGTCTCATTTCATAGGGGTATGTTTGCACTAGCGCTTACCACTCGGTTTCGAGGGACAAGGGCTAGGGGTAAGACGAAGGGGAAGGGGTAAGACAGAAAATTGGGATTCAGCCTAAGTCTGCCAACTTTGTTACCAGTCTGGGGGAGGATGTTATTAAATGTGGAGATAAAGTCCAGAAAGAGAAGCCTAAATTAGCTCCCCTGCAGAGCAGTGTGAAGAGCTGTGGCTATGGCATCCTCTGCAGATTGATTTTGTAGCTCTGTATGCAAACTGATGTGTTGAATATAGGTGTAAGCCCGGTAATGATATGCAATAATAGGTGTCAATGCCACTGGGAGGTAATCATAAAGGGACAGATTTACTAAAAGCTTGTGCCAACGCAAACCCTCGTTGGCGTTAAAAAACTGTCAGGATTTACTAAAGACATGCACTGAAAAATTGGTGCTGAAAAGGCACAGAGAGGGTTATTTTTGCAGCTACACGTCTTAAACCAGACGCTACCTGGTAGATTGCGTTGGTCATTATTGGAAATTATCCGGGTGTCGGTGTTCTTTCATTTGCACGTCGTCTGTAGATCACGTGCAGAACTTTCCACTCTCATTGGCGCTGTTTTAGAATTGCGCTCTCATGCTATAGATTGATCCTAAGCATCCTAAGATGGTAGATGTAATGTGGCTGCCTTGGTAGACTCCAGCTCAAAACAGGCAAAGAAATAGTTCAACTCCTCCGCCATTGATGCATCACTGTGAGCAGCTGAGAGGTTGCTGGATCTGTGGTCAACGTCAATGCGTTAACTTGTGCAATTAATTCAAAATGTTTAATATGTCACAATCTGCTCAGTTAGTGGTATTTTCACGCAATACCATTTCTAGGGTTTACAAAGAATGGTGTGAAAAGGGAAAAACATCCAGTATGCGGCAGTCCTGTGGGTGAAAATGCCTTGTTGATGCTAGAGGTCAGAGGAGAATGGGCCGACTGATTCAAGCTGATAGAAGAGCAACTTTGACTGAAATAACCACTCGTTACAACCGAGGTATGCAGCAAAACATTTTTGAAGCCACAACACGCACAACCTTGAGGTGGATGGGCTACAACAGCAGAAGACCCCACCGGGTACCCATTATCTCCACTACAAATAGGAAAAAGAGGCTCCAATTTGCAAGAGCTCACCAAAATTGCACAGTTGAAGACTGGAAAAATGTTGCCTGGTCTGATGAGTCTCGATTTCTGTTGAGACGTTCAGATGGTCAGAATTTGACAGAATGAGAACATGGATCCATCATGCCTTGTTACCACTGTGCAGGCTGGTGGTGGTGGTGTAATGGTGTGGGGGATGTTTTCTTGACACACTTTAGGCCCCTTATTGCCAATTGGGCATCGTTTAAATGCCACTGCCTACCTGAGAATTGTTTCTGACCATGTCCATCCCTTTATGCCTACCATGTACCCATCCTCTGATGGCTACTTCCAGCAGGATAATGCACCATGTCACAAAGCTTGAATCATTTCAAATTGGTTTCTTGAACATGACAATGAGTTCCCTGTACTAAAATGGCCCCCACAGTCACCAGATCTCAACCCAATAGAGCATCTTTGGGATGTGGTGGAACGGGAGCTTTGTGCCCTGGATGTGCATCCCACAAATCTCCCATCCATCGGCTGCAAGATGCTATTCTATCAATATGGGCCAACATTTCTAAAGAATGCTTTCAGCACCTTGTTGAATCAATTCCACGTAGAATTAAGGCAGTACTGAAGACGAAAGGGGGTCAAACACAGTATTAGTATGGTGTTCCTAATAATCATTTAGATACAGACACACACACACACACACATATATATATATATATATATACACACACACATCTCCACACATACAAATACATACACACACACATACAAACATACATATATATATACACACACCTTGAAGATGTATTATTGGTAAGGGTGTTTCTAAATCTTCAGTTGTGTGACACTTGCTAATTGCTTTCTATTGATCTGATGCTTTGCTGAGTTGTTTCTGTTTATCGCTTTCCACATTCAAATCAAAAGCTTTAAACTGCAGATGCTCAGTAATTGAAGGCAGACCGCCATTATCTCAATATTTGGGAACCGTAATTCTACTCATACATCACACATACATCCTGCACTCCCTGCAACTGTTTTACACTTCAAGTCATCTTTAACGATCTTCCTCTCCATCTCACCCATGATGCTGGCCTTGCCCAGGTTGGTAATAGACTCGCCGTAGTGTCTGCGGGGCTGTGGAGGGGAGGTGCATGGGCTCGGGAGGCTCTCCGTATCGGACACATAGGCACTTTCCTTTGACGGATTCAGTAGATTGGGACGGATCTGGTCATATGGTGTGGGGCTGGTGGTGTTATACCTAAAAACATTTTTTTTTTTTTTTTTAATCTGTTTACACTTAAGTATGTCCAAAAATCTATATTTTATTGATAAAAAAAATCTTATTGATTACTTAATCCTTAATGATTATTAGTAAAAAAATAAAAACGAAAAAAAAAATTCTTCTGATTAAAATATTTTCTAAAATTGAAATTGAGGTAAAGCATCATTTTACCCACCAGTGAATCTGGACAGGTGATATATTGCTGTAATGCTTCAGGATGAGAGGCTCCAACCTGTATGCCTGCAGGAAACCATTTTTCTTTATTTAGATGTTATTCATATTTTCATATTTAGAAGCTATTCATATTCTCTGACTGATATTTGGATATTAATGCAACGCACTAAACTGTTTATTCAAAGCAATGAAACAAGAAATGCATAACGTTTAAACTAACATCTATATATTTTGCCGTTTTTTCCCCCGTCTTTTTTTTCTCTCCTTTATTTGTACTTGTGTGTGTGTGTGTGAAGTTCATTGGTCTCTTACTTTGTATAAGCTCCTATGTCTTGTTTATAAAACACTAACATTTTATAATGTGAGTTTTTGTAAAATACACTAACACTATCATTTCATACATTGCATAAATAATTATAAATAAAACAGCATTATGTATGTACAGAATAGTTTAATACAAAGAGCTGCACAAAGTCTTGAATCTTGAGACATGTTTTTTTTTTAAATTTGAACTTTTAATTCTGAACATTACACAATAGCTTTATATGTTGAACAGATTTAGGCTTTTATTCACATATAAACATTCCTCGACTCGCGGACATGCGGTAAGTTATGATAAATGGAAGCTCAAGAATGTTCGCATGACGCGCAATGACCAATGAGGTTAATTCTCGTGTTTATGTTTGCTGATCAATGTTTATATGAATAAAAGCCTAAATGAAATCTGCTCATCTTATAAAGCGATTGAGTCTCTTCAGGAAATTTTGACTAAATCACTTCTTGACTTAATCTCTTTTTGGGTGAACTAACCCTTTAATATTAACCAAGATTAATAAATGCAGTAGAAGTATTGTTCATTGTTAGTCCATATTAACTAATGTCAAGAAATGAAACCTTAGAAGTAAAATGTTTGGTAACACTTTAGAATAAGACATTTTAATATACTGTATATGGACCTGTACTGAGAAATCTGATCCTAGGCTATCTTATACTCCAAAAAAGCATCACTCACTACAGGATCAGTGGGATGGAAGATGTTGAAAAGCCGCTGACAGATATGTTTAGGTAGGATGTTGTCCTGCGTTCCGTCGGATCCAGGACGGACACCTCGCAAAGCCAAGAAAACAGCCAGAGGAGATCCCATGCAGAAGAAGTTCTCCACCTACAACCCCAAATCACATGGTTTATTACACGAAACTTACACAAACAGATGGTGGGAATGAGAAGAGAAGGTTCATTTATTCTAACATACCTTGAATTTCAGGGCTGGAGAGGGTCTTGAGGTTGACGTTTGGACATGCTGAAGCTTATCTTCCAAATCCCTCATTCTGCAGATGAATATTAAATTAGATTTTTGGAGAGGAACAGAACACACACCAGATTAAGAGAGGGATTATCATTATGGAGTAGAGTGTACACAAAATTAAAAACCTTTAAATAATACACAACCCTTTGAAAGCATCGGAAACAACATGAGAGCAGTAAAATCAATGCAACTGAACAAATGGATAATACATTAAGAACTAACAGAAAATGATTGTAAAAGATAATCTTTCGAAATGTTAGTGTATTGTACAGCTGAAATTAAAGTTAAAATAATAATAACAACTTAGACTTTTACATTTTCTGAAGAAAACAAGAGTGATGTTAGCCTGTGCAAAACTGGCAGCCACAATGCAAGAGTGAATGTTATTATACATTGTTAAACGGATACAAAGGCAGGGCTAGGAAACTGGCCTAAAAAAAATTCACTTTCCTGCAGAGTCCTAACCAACAAACACACCCGAACACGATAATCAAGGGCTGCGTCCCAAAGCTTAAAAATGCTGCCTTTGGAGGATGCATTCTAAGGTAGGAAGGCATCAAGGCACATCTGAATCCAATGATAGCATGTTCATAAAGTGAGTGGATGTTGGGTTACTTGCAATGGTTGTTAGCATGTTGATACAGTGTTCTGAGTGGGCATTGCTAGTGTGTTCTAGATGGATGTTAGCATGTTGATAGTGTGTTCTGAGTGGATGTTGGGTTACTTGCTAGTGTGTTCTAGGTAGATGTTAGCATGTTGAGTCTGTGTTCTAATGGTTCTTGGGTTATTTGCTAGTGTGTTCTGGGTGGATGGTAGCATGTTGATAGTGTGTTCTGAGTGGATGTTGGGTTACTTGCTAGTGTGTTCTAGGTAGATGTTAGCATGTTGATACTGTGTTCTTCTTGGGTTACTTGCTAGTGTGTTCTAGGTAGATGTTAGCATGTTGATACTGTGTTCTAATGGTTCTTGGGTTACTTGCTAGTGTGTTCTGGGTGGATGTTAGCATGTTGATACTGTGTTCTAAATGGTTCTTGGGTTACTTGCTAGTGTGTTCTAGGTAGATGTTAGCATGTTGATACTGTGTTCTAAATGGTTCTTGGGTTACTTGCTAGTGTGTTGGGTTACTTGCTAGTGGTTGTTGGGTTACTTGCTAGTGTGTTCTGGGTAGATGTTAGCATGTTGATACTGTGTTCTTCCTGGGTTACTTGCTAGTGTGTTCTGGGTGGATGTTAGCATGTTGATACTGTGTTCTTCTTGGGTTACTTGCTAGTGTTTTCTGGGTGGATGTTAGCATGTTGATACTGTCTTCTAATGGTTCTTGGGTTACTTGCTAGTGTGTTTTAGGTAGATGTTAGCATGTTGATACTGTGTTCTAAATGGTTCTTGGGTTACTTGCTAGTGTGTTCTAGGTAGATGTTAGCATGTTGATACTGTGTTCTAAATGGTTCTTGGGTTACTTGCTAGTGTGTTCTGGGTGGATGTTAGCATGTTGATACTGTGTTCTAATGGTTTTTGGGTTACTTGCTAGTGTGTTCTGAGTGGATGTTAGCATGTTGATACTGTGTTCTAAATGGTTCTTGGGTTACTTGCTAGTGTGTTCTGGGTGGATGTTAGCATGTTGATACTGTGTTCTAAATGGTTCTTGGGTTACTTGCTAGTGTGTTCTGGGTGGATGTTAGCATGTTGATACTGTGTTCTAAATGGTTCTTGGGTTACTTGCTAGTGTGTTCTGGGTGGATGTTAGCATGTTGATACTGTGTTCTAAATGGTTCTTGGGTTACTTGCTAGTGTGTTCTGGGTGGATGTTAGCATGTTGATACTGTGTTCTTCTTGGGTTACTTGCTAGTGTTTTCTGGGTGGATGTTAGCATGTTGATACTGTGTTCTAAATGGTTCTTGGGTTACTTGCTAGTGTGTTCTGGGTGGATGTTAGCATGTTGATACTGTGTTTTGAGTGGTTGTTGGGTTACTTGCTAGTGTGTTCTGGGTAGATGTTAGCATGTTGACACTGTGTCTTATAAAAGTGCACAAGTTACATAAATACTAGACATTAGCAGAGTTGCATATTTAATGAGCATATATTGAATTTCTGAAATTTTTAGTGTTGTTTTTCCATGTAGAAATCCAAAAGGCACCACTATGCCAGAGTGTTCTGCATGATTGCTTACATCTTTTACTTAATTTCATGGGAGTGTAGAGTGTAACTATAATTAGCATGTAAACCTTAAGCATGTCATACGAAGATCCTCCAGTAGCTGACGCTCTTGTCTGCTTACATCAGCCTCCACGGCATCTGCCACGTCTTTGTGAACAAAGCGCACAGGGTCCCACCCTGTCATGATGTCAAAGGTGATGACACAGCCGAGTGAGTGGGAGACGATGGACACCTTTCCTTTCTCTGCGAATTCTGGGTTGCGCTCGCAGAAGAGCATGTAGAGTCGGTTCAGCTCTTTGGTTAGACCCCGGGTGATCTGAGGATGCAAGTGCAGAGAGCGTGAAACGAACAAGTGTGACACTTTATTCGTGCAATAGAAAAGAGTGGGACAGAGTGTGTGAGTGGGACATTTTAATAACGTCCCATTCTTTTTAATAGCTTTAAAGCACAAATATGATGCTATAAAAATCTTGTATATGGAGAGCTGAAAAAAAGAGCAAAATGAATGAAAGAGTAGATAACTATAGATGTAAATCACCTCATCCCTGTACAAAGGGCTTGTGTAGTACATAATGTCCATTGCACTGCTGTTCAGCATGTCTCTCAGACCTCGCACTTTGTCTGGAGTAATAGAGTCCACGGTGTCTGAAAAAGTAGATTTTATCATAAATAAACCATAATCATGTATATCACTGATAATAGTATGGACTTTATATAATTTTATCATTGTCCATAGGCAATACCTCCATCAAGGGAGAGTTTAGATCGCCATTCAACAGGAAGGAACTCAACGTGTTCATTTGTTCGGTCAGAAAAGTGCTTCTCCTCCATCTTGCGAGCAGCATCACGCATCCTAAACCGTCAATGAAATGCATCAGTTTCAGGGCTAGATGTTGTTTGCAGACTCAGCTGTGTGATTTGTGGACTTACATGCTTGTATTTCTAATGATCCGCCCCTGATCCATCTTTTGGCCAATCCCATGTACCACAAAGACTATGTGCGTCGTTTCAGGGGGCGTGTCCTCTAGAGCCGCCTCCTCCACGTAACCTCGGTGGAGACGCGTCCCACTACTGGAGGCTAACCAGACATACTAAATTGATAACCATGCACTTCGTTTTATCTTTAATTCTAACAGTGACTTCCCTTGTGAAAAGAAGTGCACATAACTGTATTGAATGTACAATCTAAAACCATTTTTAAATACTTGCAGATAATATAATATTAATTAATTCAAATAAAAGGCCACTTAAGTGTACTTGAAAGAGATTTTAAAATATGCACTTAGTAATAATACTGAATTAAAAAGTTTTGAAGTGTACTTCTTTTTCACAAAGGTTAGTTCACCCGAAATTGAAAATGCTGTCATCATTTACCTCATGTCGCTCCAAAACCATTAGACTTTCGTTCATGTTCAGAATACAAATAAGGATATTTTTAATCAAATCTAACTAATCCATATGAATCGAGAGGTTTAGTCCAGATTTTCTGAAAAGACAAGATCGCTTTATATGATGAACAGATTTTATTTAAGGATTTTATTCACATATAAACATTGATCAGTGAACATAAAGAGAGGCTTAACCAAACCTGCTTGATTAGCAAGAACCAACCTCTAGCAGGAGCTCAAACGTGCTGCGTAACACGAGAATGAACCTCATTGGTTCTTGTTGAAGCTCAAACGTGCTGCGTAACATGAGAATGAACCTCATTGGTTCTTGTTGAAGCTCAAACGTGCTGCGTAACATGAGAATGAACCTCATTGGTTCTTGCTGAAGCTCAAACGTGCTGCTTAACACGAGAATGAACCTCATTGGTTCTTTCTGAAGCTCAAACGTGCTGCTTAACACGAGAATGAACCTCATTGGTTCTTTCTGAAGCTCAAACGTGCTGCGTAACACGAGAATGAACCTCATTGGTTCTTACTGAAGCTCAAACGTGCTGCGTAACAAGAGAATGAAACTCATTGGTTCTTTCTGAAGCTCAAACGTGCTGCTTAACACGAGAATGAACCTCATTGGTTCTTTCTGAAGCTCAAACGTGCTGCGTAACACGAGAATGAACCTCATTGGTTCTTTCTGAAGCTCAAACGTGCTGCGTAACACGAGAATGAACCTCATTGGTTCTTGCTGAAGCTCAAACGTGCTGCGTAACACGAGAATGAACCTCATTGGTTCTTTCTGAAGCTCAAACGTGCTGCGTAACACGAGAATGAACCTCATTGGTTCTTGCTGAAGCTCAAACGTGCTGCGTAACACGAGAATGAACCTCATTGGTTCTCGCTGAAGCTCAAATGTACTGCGTGACAAGAATGAATCTGTTCATCATATAAACCAATTGTGTCTCTTCAGAAAATTTGGACTAAACCTCTCAATTCATGTGGATTATTTTTATAATCTCTATATGAACTTTTTGAAGGGTCAAACTGCTAGTTGCGTAGCTGTCAATGGAGGGACAGAAAGCTCTCATATTTCATGAAAACAACTTCATTTGTTTTTCGAAGGAGAACTAAAGTCTTACAGGTTTGGAGGTACATAAGGGTAAGTAATCAATGACATAATTTAAATTTTTGGGTAAACCCAATCTTTAAAGATCACATAAAATGTTAAATGTTTTTGTTTTGGCTTTTAGTTCATGTCTATTTGTTTTGAAATCATGTGTATGCTAGTGTACTCCAATAATGCAGATCTTCATTTCATTTGAGAAAAAAAGACTCAAAATATTGATGACTCACGGATTTTTGTCCAAACAAATGCACATTCGCCCCACAGTAATCGTCTAGCAAGTGGTGAATCATGTGCTGAATCTACACTTTTATATGGCAGAAATAGTACGAGTAAATAGTATGCCAGTATGTTATTTTCGAGCCATTTAGCCTATTTAGTAAATTGGGCCTTCAGTTTTTCTGCTCAAGAAAATACAAAACATAACATAGAACATTGAACTCATCAATCCATTTCATGTGGTCTACAAGTAAACAACACCACAGAGAAAGTACTTACTAATCAAGGGTGTTACAAACCTTTTGAGAACCCCAGTTTCTGAGTGACGGTTCGTGCAATCTTAGAGGTGGTGGCGTCGCTGTAAAGGTACACTTCATCCACGCTGTGCCAGTCCACATGGCTCCGGCTCAGTTTCAAACTGTGAATGGCTGAGTGAATTAAGGGCAGAAGTCAAACAGGTCTGTTTCAAATTACCTGATTGTTAAGTAATCTTAAGTGGTCTAACTAGATCAGTTTGTTTTAATTAAGGGTCGTTTTAAGTATTCGCAAACATAACTGAAACTCGATTCCAGTACACAAGTCTGTTTAACTTAGTTCAAATGTGTTATGATGACACAAACAGGATGTCTGGGTTAGGATGTAGCCTATTCATGACTGGTCCTCTGGGTCAGCTGAAAGCTTCAATGTTAAGTCGATCTTTTTTGTGTGCTTGACCCCTAGTACAAAGCCTCCCTAACCCTGAGTCCTATTGGTTCCATTGTCAGTTACCATCTTTGCTGTCCACCGTGATGGCCACCGCTTCCGTGTCGAATGTGTCTTTCATCTGCTGGCCTCGGAAACAGGCCAGGTGCTCCAGTTCAATGAGGTCACTGTCCACTTCCTCCAGAGGCAACCAGGTACCGTCCGTGAACCATTGGCCTCTCATGACCGGGATGTGGTCCTGTTCTGTAAAGACAAGCAGTCCGAATTGTTGTCCTAAAGCAACAATTCATCTGACTCAAGCACACTGTACATTTTTTGGTTTACAGTTGTGTTTCTGTTGTCGTGGGGTAAAATCACGAGTCTTTGCTCACCTAAGCGTCATGTTTAGCAATCATTTGGTAATGGGCTTTATGCCCAGCTGCACTACTTCCTGAACTTCAGCCAGCTCCTTGTTTCCTGTCTGCCATTATTGGTCAAATTGATTAATTCAGGTGTACCTGACCTCAGTAGTCATGGCAACAATAATCAGACACACCTGAATTAATCAATTTGGCCAATAATGGCAGACAGGAAACAAGGAGCTGGCTGAAGTTCAGGAAGTAGTGCAGCTGGGCATAAAGCCAATTCCTATTGTTTTGTTTTATGAGGTTTATTGTGTCTGTGGAGTAGCATTCAAGTAAGTTTATCATTTTACTTGGTAACTTGTAATGTCAATAATAAATGACTTGACTTGACTTGACTTGACGGTGCGGTCACATTTACCCTTGTTTTTAGAATTTTAGGACACAGAACTCATTTTTGCGTTTCACCTGTTTGTGTTTTTAGAATGCCATGTCCTGCGCTAGACGCTGCAAAAGACGCAAGAGCGAGCGCATCGGATAAAGATGTCCGTCGAGTATTTATATTGAAAAACAATGGAAGAGTAACGCAGTGGAATGTAACAGATAATATACCTGGTATTACCCGACGCCGTACTGTGTTATTTGCTGAAAGCCACTAGAGACTCTTGTTTTGTGAAGCTACTTTTATTTTGACACTGGACTGAGAACACACTATGCATACATACATTTTCATACAAACATAACACATTATTTGTTTTGCGTGATTTAACACCAGTTAGCACTTAGCACTGATATGTGGGTGTCAATGATTGTGTATTGTTTGTTGTTCCTGTCCTCACCATGTCCTTTTTCTTTAGTTAACATGTATTTGGTCATTAATTTCACTATATTGTATTATGTATTGTACTAAGAACACAAACAAGACTGGTCACCATGTTAAATGTTTCTTGTTTTCAATAGACCTCTTGAAGAAAATAAATAGTCATACTTACCCAGATAGCAAACTGACATTGAATCAACGTGGAAATATGACATCGAAACAACGTTGATCTGACATTGTTTTGCTCATCGAATTAACGTTGAACCAACGTCAGACGCGTCATTCTTTCAAAACTAATGGAAAATCAACTTGAAATCAACGTGTTGTTTCAACGTTATGAAAGCAAACCAATTTTCGATTTTCATTTAGCTTTGAAGAATGCCGCGTCTGACGCTGGTTCAACGTTAATTCGATGAGCAAAATCAACGTTGTTTCAATGTCATGAGAGACGTCGTTTCCACGTTGATTCAATGTCAGTTTGCTGTCTGGGTAGGTACCGGAACATTTTTAAAATACCAAACAGACGAAACCCGGTCACAGTATCTGCCACCATTTTAAATATCTATTTCCCGCCAATAGAAGGCAGAGTTAATAGTTCTCATGTCATTGTTAACCCGTAATAATTAATTGAGTTTGTTTTGTTTCCAATGTTTTTGTATTCTAACAGTTTATCTTTAGTCTAAGTGGGAGGGGCTTATCATTTTTAAGAGGGCCTCTCAGTGTTGTAAAGAGGCTCGTAGAGTGAGTTGGTTGGTGTTTCTTACTGGACTTTGGGTCAATTTATTGACATATCCGAAAGTCTGTTAATTAATAACTTTGATCTTATTTTATTTTTTATTTTTTAAACGGACGGTACGTTCGGTACATTCGATACGTTACATTCAGAGCAGTGGTGCTGCACACCCTGTCTCTGTTACAGTCATATTCAAACATTGACGTAATATCTGGCACAGTTCATGTTCCAGGGTCAAGTTTGGATATGGATGCTTTAAGATTTGAGAGCTAGCCTACATGCAGGGATTTTTGGTAATAACAACAAAATAGTGTTGGGTGAAACAAATTATTAAGTAATCCAATCACTGTAAATTGATTTTCCCGTGAAAAAAAAAAGTAAATGAAGGAATTATTCATAATTTAATGACAGTTAGCTTACTTCTGATGCACCTGAATTAAACTAGTCAAAATACAACAAAAGTGGTTTTAACGTCAACATTTAATGTTTGGCTAAATGTGTTTTAATGTAACCTTCTGCCTTTACACACCTTCGTCAGTTTAAGAATAATGTAGTTAAGAATCAAAAGTGCAGTTTCATGTCTATAATTGTATTGTTTAACTAAAGTAGAAAGAAGACTTTTTATAGAGAGTAGTTACAGTAATCGAATCACATCTAAACTTCAAGTAATTATAGTAGAGTGGTATCAATTACTTTTTAAGAGTAACTTGCCCAACACTTAAACTATGGTATGGCATCAGAGAAGATTTGGAATACAGTATTTTTTACTTTTAAGATACTTTTATGGCGCTTTTGAGCAGCTACATGTAATATCGTTGTACGTCTATAGGTTAACATTCGGCAAAACCTCTCTTGTTTTCCAAACTCCACATAACAAGTTTGAAAAATTAGGCATTCTTGTTTGTTTTGTTCAGAGTAATAATCTTATAAAAACACTCACGGTTCCAGTATACAGGATAACAGTCTTTCCCTTTAATGTCCACCTCGTAGAGTCCTCCACGGACACACACTGCCTCCACATTTATGCTTTCCGACTCCAGCTCCGTCTCGTCTGTTGAGCAGCATCCCGCATCCGAGTTCTCGGGTCCCGGTGCCGACGCTGCCGCAGCCGCAGCCGCCGCGGACTGTCTCCGGACCGCCGGTTCTCCACATTCTGACGGAGACTCGAATAAATCCTCTGCTTCCTCACTGGTATCCCTCCGTCTGACCTTGTTCGGGTTAAGCTCGCAGAATTTGCGATAAGCCAACTCAATTTTCAGAGAATCGTGTCCAACAAACGGTTTCCATGTCCTCTTGTCCTCTTTGTAGAACCAGCGCACCTCTTCGGGTCCGAGTTCCGTTACAACTTCCCCACGATGGCGCGAGCTGTTGGAGCGGTTGCGCTTTTTCGTGGTGACGTTCCCGTCGCTCTCGCTGTAGTTCGGGTCGCTGGGGATGTCGAGATAATCCGAGTCCGGATCAGAACCGAGACGGCCATGATAGACGGGGAAACCCTCATCCACCAGGCCTAGCATCAGTTCGCGTTGGCCTAGGGGAAGTGGCAGATGCATGTCTATGCCCGACTGCACCGCATTCATCCCGCCGTGAATCGCGTCGCCCATGGGCTCGTCAAAGCAAGACGTATACGAATCATCCATCCTTCCCCATTCATTCCCGCTGACATTTTCCCTGCTTTCCGAACAACTCAAAGACGTTTTGTCCTGACAAGCGCTCATCGCTGTCAACGCTTTCTGGAAAACAGCAAACAGAGCGATTTCAGCACCGGTCAGCTGATTATAATAACAACAAATCTAACGATGTCAAAACCTCTCCTTCCTCCGGCGCGACCAAAGCGGTCAGCATCTGTACAGATGCGTCAATCACAGACGCCGAACCTGAAGCGCCATTGATTACCAATTCACTTTTACAGTCCTCAACTTATTGGGCGGACACGCCAACCTGTTTCATTAATATGCCGACTGTATTTCTCCCCGTGGAGCCCCTCTGCTCTGTAGCGACGTCCGATGATGAGTGAACGGATCTTTCTGTTGAGTCGGATCTTGCTATTCACGCATCAGTCTAAACGAGTCGTCAAACGATTCATCTGTCCAAACGGTTCGTGACTGTTTTCGAAACATAATATCATTTTTTATCACAGCTGACTGGAATCTGCCTTGTTATTTATATGGCTGATAAAATAGAAGTAGTTTTAGGATGCTATTTAACACAGACTGTATTTTGTGTTCTGAACTGAGTATGATACAAATTACAACCTTATTTTTAATCAAAAGTGTAGTTATTTTTAGTTCACAGATATAATCAATCAGGTTTAATTTCAAGACCTCTTCTTTATGGAAAAACGAAAAAAAAAAAACATTTGTTGGCTTCACCGAAAATTTTAAAGGCGAGTGTTTTACTAAATTATTTCGAAATAATCTTAACATTCGTGTGTTCACTAATATAAAGCACAACTTTATTGGTTGTTGAATGGCTGTACATGGTCACAGAGAGCATGTTGAATAGGAAAGCTTTGTGAAGCTTTAAGTGAGTTTGTGAACTTCACTAAGTATGTATTTGACATTTTTATTCTGTTTTTTTAAATCACTGTTGTATATTTATTTTTGTATATTGTATGATGTTCAATAGAAGGTGCACATATAAAGTTAATGTAATGTAAATCTTTATTGTTTAAAAAAAAATGTTCAGATGACTCCGCAATTACTCGATGACGTAAAGACGGAATTTGTTTTGAACCGGTTCCAGCTACGATTTGTTTGAAAGAGCCGATTCGCAGAATGACTCTGACTTCTCTTCACTATCTTGCTGTAACGCTCCTCCCTATGCGTGACGGTATTGGTGTCATGTGCGCATTTGGTCCTCTGGGCCACCGTAGTAGCTAAGCTGTCACAACCGGAAGTTTACGTTGATGAGTGTTGCAGGGTGACAGCCAGACGCAACACTGAACAGGACAACCGCATTATTAATACTATTTTAATTATTTTATCATACGTGCAGGCATTTAATCGCATTGTATTAATGTAACACTTTAAGAATGGCCGCGGAGTTTTTAGTGATGTTGTATGAGTATTCTCCTCTCTTTTACATTGCTGTCATATCAGTATGTTTCATCATCACAGTAGCTGCTGTGTTGGGCTGGTAAGTGGAAGTTGATCAGAATAAATGAGCATTTGAGGCCAGTGTTGTGAACTATGTGTTTATTTCCCATCTGAGTCTGAATTGTCCATCTCCAGTGAGTTAACGTTAGTTCCCTTTTCAAAGCAGAAGTTGCTCTCTTAATCTTTGTCTCACTAACTTTAGTATCTCCTGTCAAGGTTTGGATTTGATGTTCCCGTCATTTTGCGCAGTTCAGATGAGACTGAATCTTTAATTCCTGTGCCTGAGAGGAAGATGGTGCAGGTGACCAATCCCTTTGCTTTGGAGATGGTCTCTCCAGCTGGGACAGTAACTGGTGAGAATCAACTCAACAATGTTCAGTCCATTTAAAATGAGTCAAAGGTAGTCCATAAGTGTGTGTGTGTGTTGTGGTTGTGTCAGAGGGTGTGAGCTTGCGGCCGTATTGTCTTGAAGACTGTGTCCTCAGTTGTTTCTGGGGCTGTGGGGTCCCAGCGCTCCAGGCGGCCCTTCAGAGTCACCAGCGTGGGCTCCAACTCGACACACCAGAGCGGTTTCAAGAGGCTCTGCAGTTAAGCTATCTTCACCACCAAAGCTTCAAGTATCCTTTTAATTTAACTCTTATAGTAGTAGTGGCTCTGTAATAACATCCCACATCGTCCTTCTACTAGATCCATATGTGAAAATTGAGGTATGCTGTGCCACTTATTACTTAAAGGAGTAGTTCACTTTAAAAAAAATCCAAGTCATCCAAGATGTCCATGTCATTCTTTATTCAGTCGAAAAGAAATTAAGGTTTTTGATGAAAACATTCCAGGATTTTTCTCCATATAATGCACTTCACTAGGAACCAAACGGTTCAAGGTCCAAAAGACAGTTTCAGTGCAAACTGTTCAAAGGGTTTTAAACGATTCCAGACGATGAATAAGGGTCTTATCAAGTGAAACGATGGTTCATTTAAAAAAAATAACAAAGTTTAATAAGCTCAACTTGTCTCTGTTCTGTGATGTGCGTTCGTGAATCGTGACTCTCCTATTTAAACTCATTCATCAATAAGAACGAATCTTTTCCTGAGTCAACTTTTCAACTTGTTCATTTTGTTTGTTGAATGAACCAAATGACTTGAAAAAAAGATTCGTTCATTTTGATAAACGAGTTCGAACAGGAGAGTCACGAACGCTCTTTTCGGCTGAAAAAAGAATGACATGGATATCTTGGATGACATGGGAGTAAATTATCAGCAAAAGTTTGAACTACTACTAAAGTGAACTACTCCTCTAAGCTATACAGAAAATATCAGAATCTATATTTCAGGATGTGTAAGCCATCAACTAAAAATTAACAAATTGCATCAAATGGATAAAAAAAATGACTTTTAGATACAGAACTTGCCTCACATTAAGGGTAGACTTATGTCATCATGATCAATGCACATAACTGCAAATATATAAATTAGTACATACACGATTTTACATTAAAACACCGAGATTTTCCTGACGTCTGGAAATAGAAAATGAAGGAAATTTACAGCTAATTGAGTCAAACTCACAGATAATTATTATTTGTGGAGCATCAGTATGATTTGAAATGTGAATGAAGTGTTTTCAAATTTGTAGCAAGGCACACTTCCACAGTCAAGACCACTAGTGTTTAGGGTGCCATTTGGGACAGGGCCTAATAATGCAGCTATATGTGCCTTCCTGAAGAAGAGTCACGTGACAAACAGATCTTACACCACTCCCACTTTATAAATGCATGGTTTTGTCCTTAACATAATACAAGGATAGAGAAAGAAGAAAAAGTCGAATACTTCACCCAGATGCCACCAGATCTCGGAGTAACTGATTTTGGGTTGCTCCCCCGGGACCGATACCCTTTGGTAGCCGTGCTGACACTGGCCAATATGGAAACCAGGGACGACTACAATATCGTGAGCAGCCGAGAGTCTTTCATTATCAGATTTGTTTGATGGGAACAGGTGCAGTCTGTTAATAGCCTGTTGCTTTCTAGGTGGCCAGTGTGACAGTCCTCCATGTTCCTGATGTCAAATACAGACTCTCTCCCAGAATCTTGTTCCAGTATCTTCTCACGGCGCATGGGAACTTTTACGATCTGAAGGTGTGAAAATATACACTACCAGTCAAAAGTTTTGGATCGCTAAGATTTGTAATGTTTTTAAAAGTCTCTTCTGCTCACCAAGCTGCATTTGTTCTTGCCATAGTCCTATTTTGTGTGCTCATTTTGATCACATTTAACCTTCATCATCACCCAGCATCCCTGAAGCAAAATTAATTAAGTTGTCGTTAATTTTGTCTCGTGTGCTTAACTTGTTCCTTTTTCACAGCCTCTCTTCATGTCAGCAGACAACAGCAACTTGCCTGGATCCACAGAGCCTTCGACTAGCACTCAAGACGCTGAGCCGCCATGTGAAAAGGGGGAGGAGTCTGATTCAGAGGGGGAGTGGCCTGATACTCAAGGCAAGGACTGTGTGGTGTGTCAAAATGCACAGACGAACAGAGTGCTTCTGCCGTGCCGACATGCATGCGTATGCGACGGCTGCGTGTGCCGCTTCCAGCACTGTCCGATCTGCAGAGCTTTCGTCCTTGAATCCTTTGCGCTGTCGAACCGACCGGCTCATGATATTGAAGAGGACGACTAAACCTATTCAAATTCAGTATTAAAAGGCCAGCCTTTGTTGGAAAGGCTAAACCCGAAAAGGAACCATTGTAGCATCTTCAAGGTTAATAGATGCAGGCAGCTGACCTTTAACCCCACATATGGACACTTCTAGAATTATTTCAATTTTAGGCTTTTGAAGTTTGTGCTTGTAAAATGTGTTTAAAATAGAGATTTTAAGTTGAATAGGATATTTATTTATTTTTTCAATATATTGTTTGAACTAACAAATACATGATTCAGAATGACTCGTTGTGGAGTTTTTTCTTGTGGAGATTGAAGAACAGCGATGCTGTGGAAAAACCATGGGAGTATATTTTATTACTTCTTTCTTTTATCATTGACTTTAATAATGTGGAAGGAAGCAGGCCAGGCACGCATTTTATATAACTGGTCACACAGAATTATAAAGAGCCGTATCATTTTTCAGGTCTACATCCTCGGCCAACAGGTAAAGATTTGTATTAAATTGGGGCTAAACAATGCATTAACTGAACAACTGAAGTCACTTGATGGTAGCAATGGAAATGTTTTCAAATGTTGACAAAAAAAATCGATTGCAGTAACTTTAACAAAAAAAGTGTTGTGTCCATGGACAGTGTTGATATCTGACTAACCCCTCACGTTTATACTTTGCACAAAAACTGTGGTTTTATACAGGTTTGTAGTCCAGTTTGGACTCCAGCTTCTTGGAGTCTGCCACCTTCCTCACAGCTTTCATGAAATCCTCCTGAGTCACATAATCATGGTCGGCACGAATGGCAAACATACCTGTGGGACAAGGAGGAGAAGGAGAGACTCAATCAAAAGTTCAAGGTCAGCATCACACCATTAGACCCAAAAAACACCTCTCCATTAACAGCTGACATCCAACATAAATTTAAAATGGTTTCATTGGGTTTTTTTGTCCACATTTCTATGGATAAAAGCATCTGAAAAATATTGGAGGACTGCTGCAGAAGTGCATGATCCAAGTTGTCTTAAACATAAGAATGCTTCTGAAGCGCTTCAAACTAACTCATAAGCATTTAACACAGCTCGCCTTAACAGGTGCTCTAACGTTTGAGGCATTTTCCCCAGTGCATAACTTACATTTGACAGTTTCTCTGTAAATGTTAGAAAGTCAAGAAAGCAAATGTTAAACGTTTCTTTCTTTTTCGCTTTTTTACTGCTGGTACGGCATGGTTCGTGATCGCTTCGCTTTTCCACAAATACAATGACGCTGATAGTGACGATTCTGACGCTTGGAACCTTAACAGAGGTGGTACCATTTAAAGCGAGGCAAGTTCTAGAATGTAATGTTTATATTTTAACTCATTTCACACAAATTACAGTCTAGATGATTCACAACCCTTTTTAATAGCCTTCGATTTACACATTAGGGATTTTCACACTTGAAATAGTTAACCCTGGGTCATTCTATACCCAGGCAAACAAAATCCTGGGTTATCTTGCTTCACATTTCTCAATTTACCCAGGTTAATTAATTCTGGGCTTTCATAAGATGTCGTTTCACACTGTACATTCCTAAACCATGCGTTAACGTCCTTAAATGCGTTAAATGTTTGGTGTCACTGATTGGACAAACGCCACACGCAAATTGTTTTCAGATAGGCCCTAGCATTTGGCATCCCTGAATTATATATTGCAGACGGTCCTGTTGAGTTTATCCTAAATGTATATATAATGAAATAATGAAACGGTCTCCTCTTCACTCAAGAAGTCACATTTTTGGTCACTATTTGGCATTTTTCAGAGCAGGGTTTCATAACTGTTAAAAGTGGGGTTTAGAATGATGATAATCCTGGGTTAAACACAGTAAAAAGACCTATTGTTTGGAGGGCAACATTGGGCAGGATGTAAAAAAAAAATCATTTTAAAAAAAAATCCCGAAAATGAGGCGTTTAAACGAAACTAAAAAAACACAACAACAGCGTTTTGAGAACCTGAAAACAGGTTTCAAAGTACAAGTTTTTGCATATGATACAATTCATTGCAGCTCTAATTATATAAGCATGGTGCACATTCCTGTTCCCTAATATGATTGGATTTTGTCTTGGTTCGTATATACATGATAGATCATGGCAAATATAGTTAATGTTTCTTTAAAACAAACTCCTTGATTGGCACTTTTCAATGTGACATTTCCTACCAGCTTCAGTGCACACATTCCTCAGATCTGCTCCATTGAAACCGTCTGAAAGCTTCACGATGGCTTCATAATCTGGAGACAAAAGGGAAATGTGATGAGAGCGGAAAAGGACCACAAAAAAAAAAAAGACAGAAAAAAAGAAAAAAAAGACCGGAAAGTCATGAAGGTGCACCTATTTCTCCATGCTTGGTGATGGGCCCAGAGTGGATCTTCAGGATGTCCAGGCGAGCCTGTTCATTAGGCAACTCAATGTCTGTACGGTGAGGAAAGAAAAGTTTACATTTCCAAGTACAGTCACTGAATCTATAAAGAGGGAGGGATACTGAAACACATACGAATCTTTCTGTCCAGTCGGCCAGGACGCAGTAGCGCAGGGTCTAAAGTGTCCGGCCGGTTAGTGGCCATGATCATCTTGACTCTATGCAGAGTATCAAATCCATCCATCTGATTCAACAGCTGATAGAGATGAAAATATTTAATCATGCGATCAGCGTGGTTTTCACCGTGTACATTTTGATATGCAGGAAGGTCTACAATTAAATTAGGCATTAATAGACAAAATAAACATTTTTAAATAAAGAAAAAAATTCCAATTGACAAATTTTGAAACCTCCATAAGTGTCCTTTGGATCTCTCTATCTGCAGACGTTCCTTCAGAAAACCGACGTCCACCTTCAAAAACAAAGCGTGTGTTATTATAAATTCAGAACAACTGCACAATTCCCATGGCTTGAATACGACATGGAGAAGAGAATTACCAATAGCGTCGATCTCATCCATGAAGATAATGCAGGGCTGATGGTCTCTGGCATAGTTGAACATCTCTCTGATGAGTCTGGCGCTCTCACCAATGTACTTGTCAACAATGGAGCTGGACACGACCTGATAAACAACACATTTTATTCAACACTATGACCTTAACCATAACAGTTAAACTCCAGCTTTACTGCATCTAAACCAACATACCTTTAGGAAGTTGCAGTCCAGCTGACTGGCCACAGCTCTGGCAAGAAGGGTCTTTCCAGTGCCTTTCAAAAAATAAATAAAATATTTGTAAAAAAAAAAAAAAAAAAAAAAACACACTTGTTTCATATTTGCACATCTCCATAACAAGTAAGTGTCCACCAAACCACAGCAGGGTGACTGACCTGGGGGTCCGTACAGGAGGCAGCCCTTGGGAGGGATGATGCCCACCCTCTGGAACAGCTCAGGGTTGGTCAGAGGAAGCTCAATTACCTACAACAGAGAATCCATTATTAAAACCGTTCAACAAGTTCAGTATAATTCAAAGCTGCATTTATACATTCAGACATACAAGTGTTCAGATGCATATGAAAATGGTCTAACAAAATTATTTGATGTACTTACTATTTAAACACCTAATGAGCCGATTTGCACTTGATATCAGCAAAACGATTATAAGAATATATAAAGAATATAAATGCTTAGTTAAAATGTTTGGTTTTGTTTTTAAAGAAATTAATATCTTTGTTCATCAACGATCAAAAGTGAGTGAAAATTTTAGGAAAAAGAAACATTAGTTCTTTTGAACTCTATTCAAAGAATATGTATAACATAGTTTGATATAAAAATATCTTTTTTTTTTTGTGATGTCCATTGAAACATCACAACCGTTACAATAAAGTTTCTCGAGCAGCAAATCGGCATATAATATTATTATTTGAATGATTACTGAAGGAGAAAGTGACACTGAAGACTAGAATATTGATGTTGAAAATTCAACTTTGCCATCACAGGAAGAAATTAAATTAAAAAAAAATATTCAAATAGAAACAGTTATTTTAAAATGTACTAATATTTCACAATATCACTGTTTTTACTGTATTGTTGATCAAATAATGGTGAACATTTCATCAGATGACAATGATATATCAGCGTCTTGCTGACCTCTCTCAGCTCACGGATCTGCTCGGACAATCCACCGATCTCGGAGTAAGAAACGCTGCCAGGATCTTCATGGGACATGTTATACACAAGAGGATCCACCTCCCGAGGCAAATACCTTTAAAAAATTTATTTAGAAAACAGGGTTCTGGTTAAAACTACCAGCATAATATTTTCTATACACAAATAAACTCAGACTGGCAGCTAAGAGCACAAGCAGAGAGACTGAACATCTTACCTCATGATAGTGAGAGTCGTCATGTCCAGAGCCACTCTAGTGCCTGGTTTAAGCTTGCTTTTATCCAGCTAAAACAACAACATATGACCAGATAAGATAAACGACATGAGCTTTGACCATTAAAATAAGCATTTAAATATCATATTATTGGGAGATATAGTTTGATGACTATGTTAGTCTGCTATACTGTTATAGCAAGAGCTCATTGATTTACAAGTTATCATAATTTCAGCTTTCTTTTTGGCTATATAAATGTTATTAACTGCAGCAAATTGCATATTTTTGGGACTGAGGAGTTTTTTCCTCTTTGAGTGTAAACTTCATATAGAGAATGGGAATGCAATGAAGTCTGGGACTTTAGGACACAGATAAGAAGACATGAGGCATAGTGAAGGTAACGTTAGATGTTAAAATGTATACTATACAGTTAAAACATTATAATGGTGAACACTTGCTGTCTTATGAACTGCCATAGAAAAGTAGTTCATTGGCTTTTTAATTTCACACACCATGGTTCGATACTGTTCAATTTAAAAAGTAAAAATAAAGAAGTGTTCATTCATGTCAGGCTTAATTATAAAGTAAAATCAATACATTCACCTGTCTGCGACATCCAACAACGTAGCGTGGGCCATTGGTTGCTTTGACAATAACTGCAAAAGAAGAAGGAATAAAGGAACATAACAACATTAGACTGAGTATCAACTGTTACACCAGAATAAAAGTGTTCTGGACTTACATTTCTCCTCGGTCAGTTGTTTCAGCACCTCACCAACAATCTACAAAGACAATGAATTGATCAGAACATCAGAAAAGCAGTTCATGTTGGTTTAATAAAACACTGCAGCAGATTTAGCTTCGACCTTACCTGTCCCACACTCTGTAAAGCCTTCAGATCATTCTCAGACTTCTCATACTGTTTAGTGAGTTCCTTCAGCTGTTCTCTCACTGAAACGGGCCAATGAAGCGATAGAAACATACAAACATGAGATCAAAGTTGCATGTATCAGAGATGCTAAACGTCCATTGGTGAGTGTTTCCTCAAGGAGAATAACTGACCGAGAAATTACTATTTTACATTGTACATGTTATTAAATACAGAAAGAGCGCTTCAAAATATGCTGTGTACATTAATTTAATATTGTGAATGATATCTGTCGGTCATCTTAGCTGTTACCATTAGCCGCTAATTCATTTCAGCACTGCATGACAAAGCGACTTACAGCACAGACTGTCGAAATAAAACAAACAACAGCCGGAGACGGTGTCAAACTGGTAAATAACAGTCTGACGTGGACGGAAAGACATCTTACTCACACTCTTTGAGGCGTCCGTCAATCTCTTTGTGCTCCAATAATTTTTTTCTGTAGTCTTGTAAACCTTTCTCCCTGGTATCCGCCATGTTTCACTGCCGCTACGCTCTGTCGCTTCTTCTTCGTGCTGTTTAATATCAGCGGTTGGCAAAAGCAAGTAACGCGCATTACCGCCCCTACTGGACGTACGGTGTGACGGCAAACGCCAACAAACACGTTTGTTGTTGTTTTTAGTCAGATCAGTGGCGTCTATTATCGGAGTCTGTTGGTGCTGGTTGGGGTTTGTTTTCACCCAACTGACCATGTTCGCGTTTGTCAGGGTATGTTGGGGCCAGTGTGAATAATTATTTTTCCTAAAATTCTAAATCCAACAGCCAACTTGTTTGTCGGCGTTTGACTGTGCGGTAATTGGCCTTTAACCCTTTCATCCATAAAAGTCAGTGGACAGCTATTCAGAAAGTATTTTCTTGCAATTACATGGGTTTTGATGGCATAGTTGCACACCAACATCTACACTCAGTGAACCTATAGTGCGCATCATCCTAAATTGCATGAAGCCGTTGTTTGTAAATTGTTCCCCTTCAAACCAAAGATGGCCAATGGCTAATCATAAATGCCAAGTTGCTCCAGAATATCCACCCATTCCTTCTGTACATACACACACACACACAAAAAAAATGTTGTAACATCAAGCAATATCTATGTAGTCATATCAAAGTTCAATTTTCCAAGTATTGATTTTGGATTGGGAGAAAATCTTCTGATTAAGCATCTATCTACTAGTGGACCTCATGCATAATTTCAGCTACAAGCCACCCTTTTTCGACTGAGAACCATGGCCTTGGATGAGTTGATTCAGCCGCTGACTGCCAGCAATGCGAAACAAGCTCCAACTGATTCAATGAACTGATTAAATAGCTTGTGAAGCAATAATTGATTTTTGTGATTTTTTCTTTCTTTTTTTAAAATAAAAAAAATCAAAGGATAAACAACACATATTTATTTTCAATGTTCATATTTACCAAGGGTGCCAATAGTGCCAATAATTCAGACCACTACATGACATTTTTGAAAATGTCTAAATGTTTTTTCTCCCTTCAAAAATAAAATTTAGAACAAGATTTCCTTCTCATCATTTTGTTCATTCTTTGTCATTGACCTAATAACTTTCAGGATTGCTGGTGTTTTCTGATGATGTGTCAAGCTGGTCCCATATTTGCTCAGAGGCACCGGGATATGCATATTTGTACTTCTCTTAACAACTCTAATGGACCATGACTTTCTCCACCCTGTAAAACATGTGCAACGAGGCAGCTTTTCCACACAGTGGCAGTACAGCAATTTATTTCAAAATACATGAAAGAGAAAAAAAAAACTGTGTGTAAAAGTAGAAAATACTTTGAAAGAACCCACAATCTAGATATATTGAGCTTTTAATACTTTGCATAGAAACACAATAATTTTTTTTTTAACTGCTCCCTTCACAAGAAAACATGAAGATTTGTGGATGCAGGTCATGTGAAAAGAATTGCTGAAATAGTAAATGAAAGAAATTATTTGGTAAACAGTGTTACTAAAAAGACAAATATTTGGGCTTAAAACCATGATTCTGCATTTTATTACTTCTTCTTAGTGAACGTTTGACCTTTTCCCCAAGAGGACAAACATGGTAACAGCAGGACTTTGTCAAAAAAGTCAGTTATGTCTTAATAACTCAACCATGCAAACTTTTGGTTTTATTTTCTGTTATTGTCTTTTCCACAAAGCAATCATCACTAATGGTTAGGAAACCTTCAAGAACATCGTGCACACATGAATATTATAGTTGAATAATGACTAAGTTGAATAATGACTGAAACGACAGCCTCTTTTATTTTTTTGTTTATTTATTTTTTTATTTTTAAGCTGGACAGATTGTGGTCACTATAAAATTTCATTTTAATTGTGTGGCAAAACAACATGACTGTTTTTGTGTTTTGTTTTTTAAGCATGAGTAAGAAGACAGAATTTTCAATGTTGGGCAACTTTTCCTTTAATAAGCACCAGATAGTAGATTATTTGCATCACGGCTCCATCTGTGATTCTGTCCGACAGAGCTCTGCGTTTCCAGAGAGGTTTGAGGTTGAGCACATTCTGTGGTGAATAATGGATTTACTGTAAATTCAGTGTACTAAAACAAATGAAAAAGACAATTAAAGGGGCATTACTTTATTTATAATAATAAAACCACAGTCAAAAGGGGGGGATTTACAATCTATAATTTAATCCTCGATCTGTTTGAACAGACAATATCAGCAAATCTCCATGCCTCAAACCTTTGGTTTCTCAGCAGCTTGACTTACTGCAGTAATTTTATTTGACATCAGTGAATATTGCACAGACAGCAGCATTAGCCATTCTTTTAATGTGAAGTCTGACGCCATGTCTACATCCTCGTCAGATCCAGGAAATAAATACAGTGGAAAACACTTGAATTCACTTCACCACGAATGTCACAACAGCAAATCCTGACTCAGCTTCACTTCCTCTCCACTTTTATTTTGTAATCATTTTAAGTGCATGAATTACTCTTCCTGGTGGATTGTTTAGTTGGTTTATAAGATCTAAAAGCTAAGAGATGACTGACCTAATTCTCATTAATTATCTTGCTCATGCAAAGGAGCCTGGGAACTTTATACAACGGACACAGAGACAAGACATCTGGCCTTCTTATAGATAAGAGTCTCCTTAGAGGGAATGGGTAGATTTTTGGTTGTTGTTGTTAGAGTCAATCAAGGGTAGCGAAGTTGGTGAATGAAACATTACATGTTGTCTCAATATTGATGAGCCAGACAACATTAGTCTATCTGTGAGTTACAACCTACTGAGAGAGTAAGGTGCTGTGTTATGTTTGTCATGGCAAGCCATTAAAATGACGCACACACACTGTACATGAAGCTGAAAAGCTGGCATCAGAGATGATGATGATAAAAGGGCGATTAATCACATGGCCTGTTCTTCCCGGCATAACCCTTAAATGCATGAAAGTTTCACCAATTATTATTACATATTCAGGTCTTATAGCGACCTGGATCTATGGATCTCTACCTTTCGCAATAATATAAAACTCTCCTGATATTAGAGTAACAATTACAGAAGAATACAATAAAGCATTTGTTATCTTTCGGAGCTTGTAAGGGCTCAGTTTGAGCAGATGTTTAATATCATCATCACTGTCCTCATCAGAGCTCATTTCCCAGAACATTCAGCATCTGGCTCATATTCGCCATCTCAAACATATTCTCAAAACTATCATTTCAAACATCTTCTAAATCAATATTTGTTTTCGCTATCACCTTCTTCACCAGATCCACCATCAAGTGACAGTGACAATAATATTTCATTGTCATCAATTAGCCAACTAGCCATTTTAAGTTTTGGTGATGATACTTTTTTGTTTTCCGCCTGCAGTAACTATGAGTGGAACGTCATTGTGTATCAGAAATTGTCCATTTACATTTAAAAGTCTCAAGATTATCAATTAGTTATTCTATTTTAACACATGTTTTTAGCGAGCCTTTCAAAATTGCCACAACTGTCACGTAAACCACATGGGAAGCAGAGAATCCATGAGCAGTAGTTTATTAGCGGGTAATCCAATCTCCAATCTGTGACAAAAAACATCGGTTGATCCCGTGTCATTCAATTTTCCTTTACTTGACAACCATTTTTGCATGTCCAAATAAGAAATTTAGTAAAACAAGTACATCCTTTTTACTTCTAATATATTAAAAAAACCAATGGGGTAAACACGATGTCCAACATTTGGCACCACTTCTCTAATTGAGAAAATAATATCTGCAATCTCCCACAATTAAGAAACAAATGGAAAATTGTTTGCTGTACCCCACAAAAAGGGTAACCCTCCCCTACCTTTGGATCAAGGTGTGCTCTGTGTCTGTTTGTAGCTATCATACCATGCACAATCCTCCACTGAAGATCGGTCCTTTTTCAGCCCATTCTCATCCCAAGGTGTCATATACTGACGCTTTTGATATTGCGTATACATCTGACGCACATGGCACCCTTTAGCGTCAATATGAAACGCAGATATGGGCCAGAAGGCGCCTCCTAGTGGTCTTACCCTAAACCTACCCCTGACCTAAACCTACCCATAACCGAACAAAGCTCTGTGCATGTTATATTGATGCTAAAGGGTGCCATGTGCGTTGGATTTAGACGAAATTTCAAAAGCGTCACTATATGACGTCCTAGGATGAGAATGCGTTACCTTTTCTCAATAGAAGGCTTGTACAGGGACCTCCACCTTTAGGAGAAGCGTCTGCTCCAAACACTTCCTGCCATTTAGACTACACTGTCCATCATTTAAAGGTATAACATTTTTACACACAGTACATAAAGAGCTTTTTTTTTTCCAACATTACTGAAAAAAAAAAAACAAGTTGGTGTGTCTCAAAAGACAGCAGCCCACCCTCCTATTCACTCCATAATCCAGTCGCAGCAGAAATAGACAACTCTGTGAAGTAAAAAAAAAAAAACTTCTTCATCACCATTCGTTTCTGGCAATCTGTAATCCAAAGGTAGGGCTTTACTTAACTGAGTCAGTATATTCTGAGTGAGCCAAACCCAGTTTTTCGGCCAAAACGTCAGCAGATGTCCATCCTTCCTCAGATAAAAAATGTCCAACTTTTAATAACTTTGTATAGATTGTATATTTCTTAGAGATATTGACTTTAAAATATCCAAGTCCAACGCAGGATTGAAAAGAATCGGTTCTTCTTCCAGCCACATTCTCTGCACACCCTTTTGTTCTCGAGATACTCTGCAAACTGTGCAAGATGTTAAAATTGACCTTTTAACATCTTAAAAATAAAAATGTGATCAACCCTATCAAAGGCCTTTTCCTGATCTAAGGACAAAAAAAAAAAACGACATTGGTGCCATTTATAACAGCAAAATCTACATAATGTCACGCATTAAATGTAGATTATCAGAAACACATCTAATAATACTGAACCTTGTGGACAATTCCATGCAGTAGTACACAATTTAATCTATTTGCTAGAACTTTAGAGAAAATGTTATAGTCCGAGCACAAATGCCACCAGTCTCCAGCTGACTCCAGTTCTTCAATAG